TTTTGGTGCATGGGACAGTGCTCAGCCAACTGAGCCACACCGGCCAGGCACCGTTTACTTTTTATAAATGTTTATATAGTTTTTGTATTGCCATAATTTTTTTCTTTTTCATTTTGTCTTCCTCAACATGTTCACTTTTTATTGCATTATGATTTCAGCTTTCACCTTTGTTTCGCAGATCTGCCTTCTTGAATTTAATTGAACACAAAGCAGACAGATGCTCCCTAAAATTTAGTTTTTGTTCTTTTGGTGAATTTTCTTTTCAAAAGTGTGTCTTTGTCTGCATTTTGAGTGCTCTATTCTCTGCTTCCTTATTGCTGAGTCTTTTCACAGGTTTTTTCCCCGCCTCTGTTTTGTTGTCCTTGACTAAAGAGAGGTGAATGTTGTCTGGGTATTGTCCAAGGCTCCCTTCACTGCCTGCCAGGGTGTTGGTGGAATCTTCTGCTCATCTCATAAGCTAGAAGGATGGGAGTAGACTTGGATTTTTGGTACAATTTACGCATCCAAAGGTACTTTATTCTGTGTCATTTCTTCTCTGGGATTGTTGAAGCCACTGGCGAAGTGTTTCCAGCTTCCTGTTGCGTCAGACCTGCACACTGGATACATACGTGTGGCTGTGCCCAAGGTCTGGCTCTACACATAGGGGAACCCCCACGCCTGATCAGAAGCTCACTGTGGCACAAAGTGGGGGACTTCCTCGGCAGATGATTTCAGTGCCAATCTGAAATGGTGAGGGGTTCACAGTGACGCTTTCCCTCGGGTCCTGGCGGCCAGATCACAAGAGATCTGAGGTTCTTCATGACTTGATAAGGTCCCCAATGTTGTGCTTCTCCAGGAGTGGGGGTTGTTAACATGAGTGGTTATAAGTGATAGTCCATATGATGTTCATGATCATTTTAACTGTACATTGGCTGACTGTGATTCATTTTTGCACAGCATCCTTTGTCCTATCAAACAGAGTCAAGGGTTGGGATTTGAAGTGGGTCCTTCAGAAATGAATGACACTGGTGCCTGACCTCCTTGTTCCTGTGTGTGTGTGTGTGTGTGTGTGTGTGTGTGTGTGTGTGTGTGTCCCTGAGTACTCCTGGGCATGTCTAGTTGAGCGTGTGGCAGGTGTGTTAGCCTGGGGTCATGCCCTGGCCCTGGGATCGACTTTGGTTCCTTAGGGCTCCCTTTGGCTCTCCCCTCCACTCAGGTGGAAGCAATCTAAGTTCAAAGCACTTTTATGAAATACAAGTGAAGGGAGAATTTGACAGAGTATGCTTTGGTTCCTGCTGTCTCAAATATGTGGTGTTTACAAACAATAAATATTTTTACTGGTTTCAACTCATAATAAAAAGAGTGGCATAGGAGCATATATAGTAGGAATAGGGACATGTCTTAGGAAAAGAAGTGTCAGTCATTTTCACGCCAACTTGTCCTTGTATAATTAGCATTATATTCCATGTGCCACTTCTTTTTAATCGTTTAAACTGTCTATTTTGTAAAGAGTGGTTTGGTTAAATCTATGTTGTGAATCTACAATCCATTTAATTGGAGATCCATGAATCTATCCCCTTTCAACCTCTGTCATAGAGAATGCCTTAAAGACTTTGTTTTCTGGGAAGCATTTTAATGAAGAAAGTTTGAGTTTGTCCACACCTGAGAATACACTTGATCAGTTCACATATACATGGCAATTCTATGAAATATAGATAGAGATATCGTGCATTATTCCATACTATTTTCAAAACTTGTTAAATTGCTGTCTGATATTTGGCAGGATAGGAGTCTGTGGCCAGCTTGAGTTTTCATTACTTTTAAATAATATATTTTATTTTCTCAAAGATTTTCAAGTCCTTTTCTTTATTCTTTGAATTAAAAAATTAGAACGGCGTATGTTAGACGTTTTCATTTATTGTTTTCCTGGATGTATTTGATCTCTTTTCATCTGTTGATCAAGGTGTTTCTTCAGTCTAGGAAGACTTCCTTGATTAAAGCTGCTTATATTTGCTTCTCATGGAAGCCCTATTGGCAGCAGATAGGACCATCTGGTTCTTACTCCTGTTCGTTTTCCATTTTCGCCTCATCATTTTTTATTTAATTTAATTTAATTTATTATTTTTAAAAATATATTTTATTGATTTTTTACAGAGAGGAAGGGAAAGGGATAGAGAACTAGAAACATCGACCAGCTGCCTCCTGCACACCCCTACTGGGGATGTGCCCGCAACTAATGTACATGCCCTTGACCGGAATCGAACCTGGGACCCTTCAGTCCGCAGGCCGACGCTCTGTCCACTGAGCCAAACTGGTTTCGGCCGCCTCGTCATTTTTTTAATGCTTTGTCCTTTTCTCTTAGGTTCTGAGAATTGAGATGGGTCCTATTAGTGATGGATGGACATTCCTGGCAGAAACCTGAAGCCCCAAATGAAGGGAGAAATAGAAAAGTTTAAATTCACCCTCATTTTGCTTTGCCAGTTGCCAGTCCAAACAACCTGGAGGGCAGTTGGGCTCTTGGAGGAGAGAGTGAACACTAGAGGCAGACGTAGCCAGGAATGCTTTTGCTCAAGCGCTTCCATTCCTTTTTTGGAGCATCTCTGAGGGCTGGCTGCTGCAGTCTGCCATCCTTTGGCAGGCGGGCTGTCTATGGTGTGTGAGTGACTCCATGCCCTTCCGTCCCAACCACCTGTCCTACGCTGCCTCTGAAACCCAGAGCACTTCCTAGGGCTGCTAACGGGAGCCACTGCCAACCTCACCTCCTAGGGGGCAGAGCTCTGTCCATGTGCTTTGCATATTTCCCTTTGCACGTTAGAGATTCACAATCAGATGGTGACTCAAAGAACTTTCTCTGTATTTTACCTCATTGACATTCCCGGCAATTTCTTTTGGATGGATGACTCCTTGCTTACATTTTAAGGTTGACCCAGAGTTTTTCCTTTTATTATTATTATTTTTTTTATTTTTTATTTTTTTTATTGCTGATCATTTTCATGTGGCTCTAGAGGGGAGTAGTTTGCATATTGCCAAGAAGTCTGAGTGTTCTTTCTTGTGAGTACAAATCAGAGGATTTTGAAGTCAGCAAGGTGGGCTCAGCCTTGGGAAATGGAGACTTAATGGTAATCTTAAGTGTCCTGCTACAGTATTTCTCATCTGGTTGCCTATGATGATCAAAGTCACCAAATAATGGCAGTGATGGCAATGATAACAATTGCTTCAATGAAATGAGATGCTGGTCAAAGAGCACAAAGTTCTAGTTATGAGATGAATAAGTTCTGAGAATCTAATGTACAGCATGATGATTAGTTAGCAAGTATTAGTTTGGAGTATTATATATGTGAAAGTTGCTAAGACAGTAAATCTTAAATATTCTCATCACACAAAAAATTGTAACTCTGTGAAGTCATGGATGTGTTAACTAACTATATTGTGGTGATCACTTTCCAATCTATACATGTATTAAATCATCACATTGTACACCTTAAACTTACACAATGTGATATGTCAGTTACATCTCAATAAAGATGGGGGACCCGGGACTGGTTTGGCTCAGTGGATAGAGCGTCGGCCTGCAGACTGAAAGGGCCCGGGTTTGATTCTGGTCAAGGGCATGTACCTTGGTTGCGGGCACATCCCCACTGGGGGGTGTGCAAGAGGCAGCTGGTCGATGTTTCTCTCTCATCGATGTTTCTAACTCTCTGCCCCTCTCAATTCCTCTCTGTGTAAAATCAATAAAATACATATTAAAAAAATAAATAAATAAAGATGTGGGAAAAACAGTGGGTCACATGGTTGATGTGACTATATTAATATCAATTTGATTTAACATTTATAGCAATCTAGGAGATTTGTTGGTTGAATCTTCATTTTATAGCTGAATCTACTAGAAATTAAATAACCTGCCTGCCCTGGCTGGGTGGCTCAGTTGGTTTAGAGTGTTGTCCCATACACCAAAGGTTGTGGGTTAGATTCCTGGTCAAGGCACATACCTAGGTTGTAGGTTTGATCCCCAATTGGAGTGTTTATGGGAGACAAATGATCTCTCTCTCTCATTCTCTCTTTCTTTCCCTTTCTTTCTTTCTTTCTTTCTTTCTTTCTTTCTTTCTTTCTTTCTTTCTTTCTTTCTTTCTTAAATCGATCAAAACATATCCTTGGATGAGGATTAAAAAATATAATAATGACTTGCCTAGAATTGCATAGACAATATGTTGTGAAGTGTTCTCAAAGTTTCTGTTCTTTTGGCATCCTTCCTGTTCAGTGAACTATTTTGCCTTCATGTCTACCTATGTAGCTCTTTAAGATTATTTTGGTGATTTAGATCTGCTTGGCTGTCTTGGAAGACCTATGGGCCAGGAGGCTGCTATTCTCCATGGTCACTGTGAACAAAGTACTGTCAACATAGCAGAATCTCAACCTGATGATGATGTTGCTGGTCTTGCTTTACTGCATCTAATTAGGGCAGCAAAAATTAAAATTAGAGAATCTGCAAAACCATTTATAATGTAGGGAACTCTTTTTAAAAAAAAATATATTTTATTGATTTTTTACAGAGAGGAGGAGAGAGGGATAGAGAGCTAGAAACGTTGATGAAAGAGAAACATTGACCAGCTGCCTCTTGCACACCCACTACAGGGGATGTGCCCGCAACCAATGTACATGCCCTTGACCGGAATCGAACCCGGGACCTTTCAGTCCGCAGACTGACGCTCTGTCACTGAGCCAAACCAGTTTCGGCAGAGTAGGGAACTCTTGAAACATAAAAGGTAGCCAGAAAGTGTTGGGGGAGGTCAGTGCCTGGTAGATGAAAACATTTTTATTCTTGCTTCATAAAAATGTATGCATTTATTCTATAACTTCCTCCTTGAGATATACTGGTCAGCTCCATCATTAGATTAATATTTTCCTTTACAATATATTAGAATAAATAAAAATATTGAATAACTCTAAAATTTGTCACTGTAATTGTAAGGTCATTCTTTGTTACCTTTATTCTAATTGAATTGTGTCTTTTCTTCCCTTAGGTTACGGTCTTTGGTCAAACAATTAGAGAGAGGCGAGGCTTCAGTGGTAGATCTTAAGAAGAATTTGGAATATGCAGCTACAGTGCTTGAGTCTGTATACATTGATGAAACCAGGTGAGTTAAAAATGACAAGAGTTAGTGTGCGGTTGGTGACTTTTCCGTTCAATGGCCCTTCTGAATTGTCCCCCAGGGCACGTAGAGGGTAGCATTCAAATGACTGGCCCTGGAGCTTTCGTTTCCACAAGCAAATGGGTTAGATTTGAGCTCACTTTTCCTCTGTACCTCCTCATCTATCAAAAGGAGCATTCGATAGAACTTATCTCATCCAGCCATTACGACACTGGAGTGAGAGCATGTAATAGGGGCAAAGGTTTGACACATTGTAAAAATCTGGTAAGATTTTCTATCAAATGTAGGCTTCTACTATGATTATTGCATATTGTTAGGCTCAGTCTAAATATTATGGGCCTACTCTAGTTCACAGTATCTGTCTCTAAGTGGAGGGTCTGGGGGTGATGGAGAAACTTTGTTCTCTTAAGCACCCCGTGTTTCTCCTTCAGTCTTAAGTGTGACATTGATTTTTCTTAGCAGACTCTTTGCACTCGAATGATCCAAAAGTATTAAAGTGCTTCCAATTACTAAATGTATTTGAAAACAACAAAATTGCTTTTCTTTTGAAAAAAAGTTGAAAGGATGACTATGAAATCTTCTTTTTACAATTCTGATAGGCTCCTTTGTTGGTATTTGTGTGTCCTTACATTTCTATGCCAAATTTCAATCTGAGATGATTCTTAGATGATATCCCAGGCATCTGAGAATTCTGTGGCTTAGTTTTTGTAACATGGTTGGTTCCTAATTTAAGGACATTTGATATCATAGTCCCCCCCCCCCCCCAATGTTACACTTTATCCTCTTTCCCCAACTGATGTGTTTAAAGAAAAAACAATCTTTTTATTAACACCCATTTTTACTCCTTTTTAGTAGGGCTTAATATAAGTGTAAAATACAATTCTAAATTTGATATAACTTTTTATATTTGTATTCTGTTCTAGATGTCTGACCTATGAACAAGTTTGAAAAATCAGCGAAGTCCACCTGACAGATGACTTACATTTCTGTGCTCAGATAAAGAGCTGTTTATTAGGGGAATTTTGCTTGAATTTAAACATTTAAGTTTCTGTGGTGGCCTATCAAACCAGAGAATATCAGTTGACATTGTTAGGGTTTGAATAATAGTTTATCGTCTATTAGTTTTTCTTTTTTTAAAAAATTACTTGTATTGGTATACAATTGGCACATAACATAGTGTAAGTTTAAAGTGTACAATGTGTTGGTTTGACACATTTATATATCACAATATGATTACCCCACAGCATTAGCTAATGCCTCTATCACGTCACATCATTATCATTATATTTTTGTGATGGGAACAATTAAGATCTAGTCTCGTGCTGAAGCCGGTTTGGCTCAGCGGTAGAGCGTTGGTCTGCGGACTGAAAGGTCCCAGGTTCGATGCATGTACATTGGCTGCGGGCACATCTCCAGTAGGGGGTGTGCAAGAGGCAGCTGGTCGATGTTTTTCTCTCATCGACGTTTCTAACTCTCTCTCCCTCTCCCTTCTTCTCTGTAAAAAATTAATAATATATATATTAAAATAATAAAAGAAAGATATAGTCTTGTAGCAACTTGAAAGTTTCTAATACATTATTATTGTCTATGGCAAAGTCTTTAAGTGTCAACTAAAAAACCCAACAGTACCACAAGGTCCATCTATGAAATAACCTTTCCTGTGCATTGTTAAAGGAAGGTGTAGATTCCATTCAAATTCCACAAACCTAGGAATCAGGATGCTGGGTGCTCTGAGTGCAGTGAGTCTGAGAACCACAGAGCCTGAGATGGGCTCTGTGCGACTTCCTCTGAATCAGTTTCCTTAATCAGGCCAGTAGAGAGAGCCATCCTGAAACATAACTTATGGAAAAGACATTTCTGAAAAGCAAATGGTGAGCTTTCACAAGCCTTACCTAAAAGGTGCCATATTTTTTTGTGGCTGATCTAATTGGGTTTCTTTGCACCTGCGTCTGCAGATGAGGGGAGAGGAGCTGCTGTTCAGAACAGACAGCTCTCACTTCAGGTTTTGTCTTGTCCTGTTGTGTTTCTTGTGTCCAGGCGGCTCCTAGATACGGAGGATGAGCTCAGTGACATCCAGTCGGATGCGGTGCCTTCTGAGGTCCGAGACTGGCTGGCCTCCACCTTCACGCGGCAGATGGGGATGATGCTCAGGCGGAGCGATGAGAAGCCGCGGTTCAAGAGCATCGTGCACGCAGTGCAGGCTGGGATATTCGTGGAGAGGTAAAGACAACTGTCATTTATTCGATAACTAAAGCAGTGTAAGGATCACCTGTTCCCCAACAATGGAAGATTTGCTTTCATGTACTTTTGGTTTTTTTATAAATGCTAATAATCCTGGGTGCAAACAGATAGTCTTGAACAAGAGATAGCAAAAGCATGGCTACTTTCCTCTCTGTAGCACCATTCGGACAAGCTTTTGCCTCTGGCTCAGATTCTTTTTGTCAACATCCAGTCTCCCACTTTTAAAGAAGGATATCATTGAATCCATCATCCTTGGACACACGTGGAGGATGACTGCATTTGGGACAGGTCAGGGACAGCTTGTGGGCCCCTGAGAGCAGTTCACTGAAAGGGCTTCAGTTCCCCTTGGAACTTTCCAATTCTGTTCACCATTTTGTTCTTTCAAATTGTTTCCCTTCTCTGGACATAGATTCCAGAAATCGACCTATTCTTTCTGTAATCCTTATTATAAAAATGGATTTATTCTCCCTGCAATCCTTATTGGACAATTACAGATTTTAGAATGTCACAGTTCACCCTGGACGTTTTTCTGCTTGTTTTTGGCAGTTGTAAAGAACAGCTCTTGTAAATGGGTTGCCCACAGGAGCTCCTTGTCCAGGTTAAAGTTCTACGTTGCGTACTCTCTATGTTGTACTAGAATTCTCTGCTGGCAGAATTTTAATCATTTAATTTCTAATTTGAGCCACACGGATTGATTCTTTTTTGTTTCCAACAGTTCATGTGTTTGTAATTGTGTTAATGTCTTTTGAATTTTATACTTGATTGACTGTGAAAAAGATGACAAAGGAAATGTTAGGTGCTTTGATTTCTCATTACTTGTCAATACTTGTAAGATATAATATTGCGTTTTCTCCTTCTCTGACTTCGGCAGAATGTATAGACGTACATCAAACATGGTTGGACTGAGCTACCCAGCAGTGGTTATAGAAGCATTAAAGGTAAAACCAATGAAAAAGTATTATAATGCACAAGGTACTCTATAAAAATACAGTTACACTTGTCATTACAAAAATAAGAGGCTTTCATTTATAGTTCATGTAAAAACTTCCCTGTCATTCCTGATTTTTAAAATTTTTATTATCTTTTACTTATCTGTTTAAATTGTATCACTATCTTTTTAGCCTTCATCTTGCTAATTGTTTTATTAAATCAAACTCTGCGTTTCATATTTCTCCACTTCCTTGGAGCCACTTCATTATGGGCTCATGCTGACTTTGGCCAAAAGAGATAAAATTTGATCTGGTTATAAATATTGAACATCAGGAAGCTCTTTGGTGATCGTTATTACACCATTATATGATTTCCTACTCTAAGACCATTTTATAGATGAATAAACTGAGACTCAGTGAGATTTTTTTTTTTTAAAAAAACAAGACCATTAATTAGGGGCAGGACTAAGGTTTGATACCAGATTTGCAGGTATACAATAAGCCATAAATAATGGCATTGAACATAGGTTCCTCAGCTCTGATCCTCTCCATATGCTCTCCTGTTTTCCCTAGACTTCCACTGAGCCCCCAAGTCCCATTTGAAGTCATGGGGATGTTTGAGTTTAAATGGTCTAAAACCGGTAGAATTGCTCCCAATGAGACAAGCTCTTGGAATTGCACAGAATATTTCTAAGAGTCCCAGAGCAGATATATTCCTCTGGGTGTGTGCTGATTCCCATCCCCTGGTCTGAGGGTATCCCCGCTATGTTGAAGCTGATTTGGCTTGTGGATTTGAGGATGCGCTGTGCTAAGGTCCAGGATCACTGGGCTGGTTGACATTGCATGGTGTCTACACATGGAGTTGCATCCACTTGCTCAGGGATGTCCCAGGATTCTGACTATGGTTAAAGCTGTTCTTGTCTTTCTCTGAAACCTGATGATATTTTCAGAATATAACTTAAATGACCTATTCATGGAATCGGTGGTGGGAGTGATTCTTGATCAACATAATGTCAAGAAAAAGTCTTTTAGGGCCATTTTGATTATATATTTTATAGTTCTTTTCTGTTGTCTACGTTCTCCATTTTCTGTCACTTTTTCTTTTAAACTTTATTGAATTTCTTGGGATGACATTTCTTCCCCACTTTCCTTTCCCTTTGGTAATTACATTTTCTTTGTCTTTGAGTTTTTGGGGTTTTTTTTTTTGTCTTGTTTGTTGCTTTCAGTTTTATATCCCACATATGAGTACAATCATATGGTTCTTGACTTTTTCCAACTGATTTATTTCACTTAGCATGATATTCTTAAGATCCAATCATGTTGTTAAAAATGGCAGTATTTCATCTGTTCTTATGGCTGGGTAGATACCCAGAAGAGGAATTGTTGGGGCATGTGGTAACTCTATTCTTATTTTTAAGGAACCTCCATGCCATAGGGCTGTACCAATTTACATTCCCACCAGCAGTGTATGAGGGTTCCCTTTTCTCTACAATCTTTCTAATACCTATTATAAGTTGTCCTGTTGACAATCGCCATTCTCACAGGTGAATTGCCTCTTGGCTTTTTGGCTAAGATCAAGTGTAGTATCTGTCCTTAACAATTCAATATATAATCTCAATTCATCGTAAGAATAGGAAAGATACTTAAGAAGGATACAGCAAGGAGACATGTTTTCTCTCACTCCTCTTCAACTCCCACTTTAATGTCTAATATATCAATGTGATTTACAGTGACATTTCCTATTTATCAGTGAAATCAATTCACATAAGATTTGATTTTTCATAACATCCATTCTGAAGATGCATTGATTTTCATAATTGAACCTGAAACATTGAGTAAGTCTTAGGAACATTAAAAGCATCTTTTATTTTTAATTCCTTCCTTTATTGGGAACATAAATACAGGTGATTATACAGGCACTAAGAAATTTATGAGACTATGTCTTCCAAATTGAAGCTTTTTGTCTATGTAGAATAACTGCAGGAAATGTGGAACAACATGTGACGTGCACGATGGTTATTTTATGCTCAGGGAAAAGCAATTCTCGAATGCACACATGTATTTCTGAGGGGAGGGAACCTAGGTGATTCAGACAAGGAGTAAGTCCTAACTCCTTGAATTGCTATCCTTCTTCACAAGAATTACTGACATGTGCACAAGGTTAAAACAGATTTTCCTCTTGGTGTTGTCTCCTGTTCACTGGGGAAGTTCAAGACCTTTAAAAATGTAATATTTCCCTCCCCCCACCCCCTCTCTCTCTACTCATCTTGGAGAATAGGATTAAAAATTGTTAGACATGACAAAATGTTGAACCACCTACTGAGTAGTCAGAGGACTTTTCTTTAGGACTAATGTTCAGAGGATGGATGTCATGGCAATGGCAATTATAGTAATCAGGGTGAAGGTTCAGTTCTTGGGTTATGCTTAAATGCCCACCATCTATGGTCTGGTTCCTATTGGGGTGTTTATGAGACCTGGGTTACAGCTTACATTCATGGAGTTTACAATGTCATCTGCTGTCAAAGCTATGGCTAAGTGGTGTCATAGGAGTTAATACCTGGTTCTGCTTCTGAATAGACTCTTTATTTCATCTCCCTGAGGTTCCATCTGTAAATCTGGGGAGAGTAACACCTCCTTCTAGACTTGCGAGGATTTGCAAATGTAGATAAATTATCTTACACTGTGCCTGGTACAAAAAAAATGTGCTCAATACTTGAAGCGATTTCTTTAATTATTATAATGGAGGAGAAATATTGAAAATGGAGGTGAGGTTACCACTGGTATGAATTAAAACAATTTGTTTTGAGATGCTTTTGGAAAAATTTGGTTTCCCCTGTAAATGATTCAGTTTTTCTGTGCGCTGGTCCATGAGAAAGAACCTTGATGACCTTGGGATGATCTTGACAGTGGGATGTTTGGAGAGATAGGATTGGGATGGATGGGTGATATTGGGATGCAGTGAGGGCTGAGATGAGAGCCACTCAGGCCAGTGGTTCCCGATAGCCCAGGTCTTACCCAAGCACCATCTGACACCCTGCCTGGACTCCATGTGGCCTCACATGGCTCCTTACTGTCAAACTCACAGCCATACACTTTCTCTACTGAAAGCGAGATCTGTCATAGTGAGAAAGTGAGACTGTTGCTTTACCTGTTGGGTAAACACACTTTTGTTTTTAAATAGCTGGTTAGAAGTCTAAGACACATCAGGCAGTATTTATATATTCTGGAGTAGCTATTTATAGACAAACAAGACTTTGAACTTAAAAAAAATAGTAGATGAGGTGTGTATTCAGCTTAGGCCTTAGTTTTACTTTTTTTCAGTGGGGTGACTTACAGATTCGAGGACCACGTCCCCAGATCAGTGACTCCAGAATGGTGACATTTTTCTGACTCATGCATTAAAGGCTTTCTCCTTGGGTCCAGCTCAGCAGTTTGGATTAAAGTGACATGTTGTTTTGCATTCTATATCGTGTTTCTGAGCACTTTAAAGTGGGTTGCTATTCTCAACTGTGGACTAAGAGGAAGTCTGCACATGGCATCCAGGGACTGGGGAGAAGTTCAGAGAAGGGGAGCACTGACGGTTGTTGTCAATGAATTAAGCATTTTAAATTCAGCCGGGGTAGGGAGGGCTTAATGGACAGAGCCCGAGCTTAGGGTGACCATGTGTTTGTGTGCTGGGTGCATCGTGTCTCCCACACACTTACTTGTGATAGGGCTTTAGGGAAATGAGGTCACTTCTCAGTTTTCTCATCTGTAAGATGTGAGTAATAAAACCTATCCCTTAGAGTGGTTTTCAAAATAAATTATGTATTTATTACTGGTCATGATGCCTAGATATGGTAGGCACTCAATAAATTATAGCTGCTGTTATTAGTTATAAGACTATTTAATATTTGATCAGTAAATGCTATGTAGGCCTGCCAGGTTGGAATAGTGTGAGAATGTGAAACCCCGGGCCGACTCTCCAGGGGGAAATTGGTGGCTGTGGACTAATGCATCTTTCTCCCTGCCTGGGCCTGCAGGATGTGGACAGGTGGTCCTTCGATGTCTTCTCTCTCAATGAAGCCAGCGGGGACCATGCCCTGAAATTCATTTTCTATGAATTACTCACACGCTACGATCTGATCAGCCGCTTCAAGGTCAGTGCCTAATGTAAAACATGACAACCACACATTTATCTGTCCTTGCATGATTTGGGGGCCAAGGCCAAGAGAATCCTTTTAATACAGACCCCAAACTGCAAGGAGTAACTTGGTGACGCATCGTCTGGACAGTCGCTGATATGGGCTCCTCTGTGGTGGGAAGTTTTCGTTACTCCCCTGCCTGGCGGGGCTCCTTGGCCAGGGAGAGGCTGGAGTCTCACATTTGAATCCCAGTCTTCCTGGGGAGTACCACCGGAAGCTTGTACTAGCAGAACTCCCCGTGGCTCTGCTCACTGATTTCATTTAGCCTGACTTCATGTAAACTCTCCTCCATTAGCTGGGAGACTGGATTTCATGTACATTCTTGTACCATCAGCGGGAAGAGACTGATGGAGACAGAATGCAGGACTGCTGCTTCTGTAGACTCTCCCCCCACCCCCATCACTTGACTCAAATGCAGACAAATACCCTCGCTTATCATCTTGACAGGTCATTGGTATTGCTCAGCCATTCATGCTTCCAGTGAATTCTTCAGCCTTAAGCAGAGAGCGGGACTGGTTTCCAGCATGCAATCCCTTTAGCCTCTCACTCAGCGTCTGGAGGTCGGGCCAGATTCTCCAGGCCACCTGTGAATTCATCGGGGCTGACATCTGTCATATTACATTTCTCAGACGTCCCTCATGCTAGGGATGAGCCTCTGGAAAATGCAGGCCCTTTTCTCTATAAAGCATTGACTTCTCTGGGCAGCATGGGTCCTTAGCACTTTCCAAAGGACTGTGTATTTGGGGGTATATATTTTTTTACATAGCTATATTTGATGGCAGCGATCCTTATTTTTTATTATTTTTTGCACCAGAAACTTGCTTGAAAATCCAATGAATGCCTGAGACACTGTCCTCAGAGCAAAGCTCCATGAATTTCAGTGGTTCACAGACCTCTCATGAACAGCCCCAAGAAGCTAGGTTTCTTGGTACCTTATTTTAAAAAATGAAAATTGATCTTTGACATCTGCAAGGCAATGTTTAAATGTTTTAATATATATATATATATATATTTTATTGACTTTTGTTTACTGGTCATGATGCATTTTTTTTTTTTTTTTTACAGAGAGGAAGGGAGAGGGATAGAGAGCTAGAAACATCGATGAGAGAGAAACATTGATCAGTTGCCTCCTGCGCACCCTCTACTAGGGATTTGCCCGCAAGCAAGGTATATGCCCTTGACTAGAACCGAACCTGGGACCCTTCAGTCTGCAGGCCAATGTTCTATCACTGAGCCAAACTGGTCAGGGCATAAATTTTTAAAGTCAAAGCATAGAAGACTGGGCACCAGGAAAAATATGTTATGGGCCCTCGCAAAGCATCCCAAGAGTACTGTCCTCATTTTTCTTCCTGATGTGATGTTTACTCTCCAGGAACATGCACTCTTTCCTTTTCCCCCCAGTCTTGAACTTGATAATTTATCCCAAACCAAGGAACCGATCCCAAAACTTACCCAATAACTGTCATAAGGGAGCCTTTATTTTCTACATTTTGCAATTGTCCTTTACCTTCGGCCACATAGAAAAAGAAGGGATATATTTATACATACTTGAGACTGAAAAGCAATTAGGCTAATTGGAAATATTATTCCACATTGCAAGGCACCTATAATAAATTGTCAAATAATAGACATAAGGACACAGGTTGTTTCTGTTTCCATATATAACAGACGATGTCTTTTTTATTTTTAACATGTCCATACATGCAATCACTTTCCCTAAACAGTGCAGTTTTCCAGAGGTGGCAGCTTGCATTTGTTTTGCAATTATTTAATGACCTAAGATCTCGGCGTACTTTATGTTTTGTCATAAATAAACGAGATGCACTGCATAGTACGTGCTCGTTTGTTTCTTGAGAAATGAAAGACCCAGACCTTTGCTTGAGAAATAAATGAACCCATACCCTTCTGCCCTACATGTCTTTGAGCTGATCCTGTGTAATGTTTTTTTTTTTCTTTTTCTTAATTTAAAGCTACTAAACCACTAGCCCATTAAACTTACTACTCTTTTTCAGATCCCCATTTCTGCGCTCGTCTCATTTGTGGAGGCCCTGGAAGTGGGATACAGCAAGCATAAAAATCCTTACCACAATTTAGTGCATGCTGCGGACGTCACACAGACGGTGCACTACCTCCTCTATAAGACAGGAGTCGCTGTGAGTACAGATGGGAACGCTAGGATTACACAAACAGCTATGTCTCCTATGGTTGGTCTCTATGCCTCTTTACTTTGAAATCTTCAGAGATAGACATTCTGTGAGTATGGTTATTCATTAGCCCATAAGCCCAGTACACATTTATTATCTTTTCAGCAAGGACATGTTGAATGACTTGATCTAATTTCTCACTGAATTAAAAATGGGATACAGTGGGAGGAGTGTGGGCTTTGGAGCTATAGTTGGATAGAAATCCTTATTTAATTACTTATTAGACTGTGACCTATGATGAATTGCTTGACTCTCTGAGTCAGGATTTCCTCATTTCTAAAATGGAGAAAAAGACTCTATCTTGTAGAAGTGCTGTGACAGTTTGGAATAAAGTATTAGAAATATGATGTGAAGATGTACTTTGGACTTATCTATTCAACATATATTTAGCTAATTCCTACTGTGTATATACTATGGAGATATAAAGGTGAATTATGCACAGATTTTTTTTTTTTTAGCCCTCAAGAAAAATTCCCAAGCATTTATGCAAATGCAAGTTATCATTAACATAAATGTTATATCATAGCAGCCAATGACCATGACGTACTGCATAATGTTCTTAATTGCGCTTATTTGCCATTGAATTTTTATGATCAATTCAGGCCATTTGCAGAATAATTCCTAAATATAGAAACTGCTTCTCACCCACTCTCTCTCTCCGAAATGCAACTCAAAACAAACATCTTTCACTGCAAGCTTACAAAAGTAGTGGGAAGCAATCTGATGAATGGAGAGCACATTGCCACTCTAACCTTTCATTACAAACCAAGAGGGGGGAAACACTTTAAATCACCCCAGTTTTATAAAGTGTGAGACACACAGGGAATCAAAACATCCCATTGACAAAGCGCTACCTGGGCCTCAACATCGACTCATTGTGATCTGTGTAAATCACTCATCACTGCTTAGCTCACATGCCTGGCAGACGCCTGGATCCTTTCAGATTTATTTGGCTCCCTTCTAAGGGACAATCCTTGAACAGAACCGGGCTGAAGGGTTTCTGATTGCATAGATGGGAATCAGACCCTGAGCTCCAGTCAGCTTTTGATTTAGGTAAAAAGAATCCAAACTCCAAAGCATTGGCCCCTTTTGTTGCATTTGTTGGCCAAGGTGCCATTAATTTTCTTTTGCTTATTTTTTAAGAGGAGAGAAGCTGTGCATCTTGTTCTCTTGATCATAGGTGATGTCATCATATTTATAAGGGAAATGTCAAGACTTCTAAATAACATCCTAGTTCAAGAGTGCCAAGTAATTTTATTAGTCTTCGTGGTCAGCAGAGTTTTGGCCCACATGACCTTTAACTTCTTATGAGTTGTCACACTTGTTAATATGTCTCATTAAATGGCAAAAGGGACTTTGGAGGTACAATGAAGGTTATTAAACCTTAAAAGGCAGCAGGTGGGGTAGAAGAGAGTGCTAGCTTGAAGAGGAAGAGAGCCCATGGAAAGCATGAGAAGAAATGAATTGCCAATGCCTTGAATGTCCCTGAAGGCAGACTTTCCCACAGAGCTTCGGAAAGGAATGCAGGCTCCCTAACACCTTCATTTCAGCCACATGGGCTACCTACCGACCAGAGCATCCAGCCAGCCAGCCACACTCTGCCGACGTCTCACCTATTTTGACAATTTTTTAGTGACTGTCTATCACATTGAGCTTAGGTTCTATGGATATAACTCTATTTTTAGTTCATATTTTATTGGCTTGTTTATATTTAATTACATAATTATGATAACAGTTCAATTGGTTAAAATAGGGTTTGGAATAAGCCACAGTGAAACTTAAAAGCATCAATTCAATTAGTAACAAAAGTGAGCAGAGGGTACCAAAGGGCAGCTAGCAGTGATGGATATTTGGTCATGTGGACATTGGGCAGTATGGTTTACAGAAAGGGTGGGAAGTGTCAATGAATCCATAGAGCCTCTGAGATGGATGTCATTCAAGCTTCAAGTGCTTCTCGAACTCTACCATGCATCAGAACTATTTGGGTGGCTTGTGAAACACAGGTGATGCAAACTCTGCTGTTCCAAGGAACCAAGTTGGTTTGAAGTCCATCGAACTACAGCCAGTTTTGGTAGAGTGAATGGGGACAAGTCTCTTCCGACTTGAGCATGCATAAGGTGGGAGGCCAGGTGTTACCTTTCTATCTGTCCCTCTGCCTAGCCACTTTACAGTTACAGCTTGGTATCATATTGAAAATTTTAATTTTTTTTCTGCGTCTACTTTGGGACTTTGGAATTTGAGAGAGGATATGATGAGGTCTTTTAATGTTCATTGTTTTCTGCCTCCTGCACGACCCCTCCTGGGGATCAAGCCCACAACCCAGTCATGTGCCCTGACTGGAAACAGAACTGGTGACCTTTTGGAGCATGGGATGACGCTCAACCAAATGAGCCACACCAGCCAGGGCAGGCATGCTGTTTTCAATTCACATGTCCCTTATCTCTTTACAGAAGAAAAACACCATTTCTCTCTTTCCAAAAACATGTGTCTGGCAAGAGCTGACCAGCTGCAGGGTGGAAAGATAGTATGTGGGTGTGTTGTCAGCAAACTGAAGTCAGAAAGAGACACATTATCTGATTGCTCTGTAATCTCCCTTTCAGAACTGGCTGACGGAGCTGGAGATTTTCGCTATCATCTTCTCAGCTGCCATCCATGACTATGAGCACACAGGAACCACCAACAACTTCCACATCCAGACCCGGTGAGGATGTTGAGATGTGTGGAGGAGAGGAGGTCAAGGAGAGAGTTTTATAAGCCAGCAAGGTTCTTTTGTGTGGTTGCTCTATTTTGAGTTTCTGGAAAAATGAATTAAAAAAATTTTAAATATATTTTTATTGATTTTAAGAGAGGAAAGGAAAAGGAGGGAAAGATGGAAACACCAATGATGAGAGAGAATCATTGATTGGCTGCCTCCTGCATGCCCCACATTGGGGATTGAGCCCTCAACCCAGGCATGTGCCCTGATGGGGAATTAAACTGGGGACCTCCTGGTTAACAGGTCGACACTTAACCACTGAGCTGCAGCCACTGGCTGGGCTGGAAATACAAATTTTAAACAAGAGACCAGTTGGGTGAGCTTCAATTAAGCCTTAAAGGGTAAAGGTGTCTGCTCCTAATCCTCATATTTTATTCACATCTAATATGCATCTCCCTTTCCTCTATTCTAATGCCTGCTCCTTGTTACTTATTTTTAATAGGAGCTGGAGCAGTGTACAGAAAGGCACAGGTGCCAGGTAGACTAAATCAGTGGGGACTGCAAGGACGGGAGTGTCTTTGTTGATGTGAAGGATAACCAAACTTTCTCACCCTCTGATCTCTGGGATTCTGGTGGTGCTCATCCCAGTCTCCCTAATTCCATCTCTGCTCAGTTCAGAGGCACAGGTTTGCGAAGCTAGGACCACCAAGTTGCCCATGGTGAATGTCTCATGCAGGCCCATTCACCATGGGCAACTTATGCACCCTCCCTAACAAACTGCACAGGTAAACACAAACCTCTGTGGGGATATTAAGTACGGGTCTAAGTGCCCAACTCTGAACCTGTTGTCTGTCACAGACATCACTAATCAATTTGGGTATTTTTTTCTTACTAGCTGTAGTCCTCTCGTAGAATCCCAGGCAGCTGTACCAATCAATTGTCATTTGCATTTAGGATGAAACCTTATCTGCCCTCTCTTGAACTCAGAACTTACCTTCTCTAAGACAAAGATGCAGAACTAGAGAGAATCTGACAGCAGGGTTAACTGGGCCTTGATATAGGGATCAAAAGAAGTGAGGCCCTAGCTGGTTTGGCTTAGTGGATAGAGTGTTGGCCCTCGGACTGAAGGGTCCTGGGTTGGATTCCGGTCAAGGGCATGTACCTTGTTTGTAAGCTCTATCCTTGGCCCTGGTTGGGGCTCCTGTGGGAGGCAACCAATGGTGTATCTTTCTCAGATCAGTTTTTTCTTTGTCTCTTCACTCTCCGACTCTCTCTAAAAAAAATAAAAAAAGGAAAAATATCCTTGAGTGAGGATTAGCAACAACAACCAAAAAAGAAGCTAGAATTTGGGGAAAGGGGATAAGGCAAAGAGAAAGAAGATAAGGGGAGGGCAATTTAACACCAATAAATACCTGCTGATTTCACTGAACCAGCAGGTGCACAGTTCAGATAGGTTTGTGTTCATAAATGCATCCACATGAGTTTAATGAACCCGGCACTTAATTGTGGGTACACAAAGGACGGCAGTATCCTCTGATCTGTGCTCAGAAGGGGAATTTCAATAGAATGAAAGCGGACAAAAGGACTTAAGTCGTTCGCTTCATTTTCTGCCTCATGTAGAGCAGTCTCAGCTGCTGCAAAACAGTCTTAAGGTCCTGTTGCAAAGTCTTTAAACACAGGGAATTGGACAGAGTGGAACCTTTGCTCCGAGGACTGAGAGTAGCACCTGCCGAAGGGGGAGAGGTGGATGGAAGAACCGTACCTGGATTATGGCTGGAGGCCAATGGTCCCAATGCAGAGGGAGATTAATTTCAGGAGTTAGAAAATAGCTTAATGTCACAAAACACACATCTGTTAGTGCCTTCCTTACCTAGCAGGCACAAGGTCAGATGGCTCACCCCAGGATTTGTGTGTTTTGTGCTGTATCTTCATAGGAGTGGGAAACCTCCAATGGGCTCAGTTAAGCGTGGTTTGGAGTGAAGTGTAGACATTGGTTTCTCTAACAGAACTTTAAAGCATCCCAGCCTGTGTGCCTCCTGTTCCAAAAACCAAGTCTGTGACCAGGTCCTTTGTCCTTGGATGGTATGTTAAGTCTAACACTTTAAAGGTGTGCTAGAAAAAATTCAAAGTTTGGCCAATGACAGGTAGAAGTTATCTTGGGGGACAGTGGCCCCACTGTCAGAGATCTCACCTTCATCCCAACCCTGACTCTGCGGGGCTCTGCGGAGTCACTTAACATCTCTGGGACTTAGCTTTCTTGATGAGAAACCAATAGGCTGTAATAATCTCAGATTTCATTAAATTAAGGATATGAAAATAGTATACAGCTCTGTGTTTGCTGTCATTCAATTGTGGAATGGTCTTTGAAAAGTGACTAACAGTTGTCATATAATCCTTATAATCTTCACTCTGTTTTCTGTGTATGGCTTCTGCATGGCAACATTTTAAGATCAGCCTTGGCTGGTTTAGCTCAGGGGATAGAGCATGGGCCCACAGACCAAAGGGTCCCAGGTTTGATTCCTGTCAAGGACATGTACCTCCACTGCAGGATCAATCCCTGGCCCCTGTTGGGGTGTGTGCAGGAGGCAGCCAGTCAATGTGTGTCTCTCACATCGATGTTCCTCTCTCTGTATTTTCCCCTCCCTCTACTCTCTCTAAAAGTCAATGGAAAAATATACTCTGGTGAGGATTAACAAAAAATAACAAATTTTAAGATCAAGCTACTACCAGAGAAATTTGCAAGCTGTACCTGCCAGGTAGTATGTCCAGAGAATTAGAGATAAAATAAATTATTTTATTTAATAAAAAAATAAATTAAAGTTGTTCTAGAAAATATAAGGAAGTTTGACTTGACCCACATTTTAAAAAAATCACTTTTGCTGCTGCCAGCAAAAATCATGGAGGTCTGGTTATGAACAGTTTTCAGAGAGTTCTCAGATTAGGTGCCACCTATTTTATATCACAGATTGACATTAAAATACCCTACATATATCAATTGATCATTTACAGTATTAGTTTTAGCTTATTTTTATTGATATAAATGGCATCGGGACAAAGATAATTGCTAAACACAGGAAAAAGAGATGGTGTATTCTAGCTTGAAAGCGTTAACCTGAAAAGTCTCAACGGTTTAACATACTAGATTATTTTTTGGATTTCTGTTCAGGTCTGACCCAGCTATTCTGTACAACGATAAGTCTGTATTGGAAAACCATCACTTAAGTGCAGTTTATCGCCTTCTGCAAGAGGATGAGGAAATGAATATTTTGATCAATCTCTCCAAGGATGACTGGAGGTGAGGATGAGACAGGGAGGCCAGAAAAGGAATGGTGAGGAGAGATGAAGTGTGCTGCTTTGAAGAAATCCATTAACTGAAAGATAACTTATGTTTAGTATCCTGTTTCTTTGTAGGAAAGCAATTTTAATACCTGATAGATTTGTTTGAATACATAAGCGCATTTGACCTTTTAGGACCTTTGTAAATGAATAGGTTACCACTTATTTACCACATTTCAAAGTGGTGTGTCCAATAGCATGGCATTCCACTTTGAGCAGGCTGGATAATCTGCTAATAAGCCAATCCTCCTGCACATAATGGCTATAAACTATGATTAAATAAAATAAACACAACCCTACTGACTTGAGAGTGAACAAAAGTAGGCACATTTTGAAGGGGTGTGCATACCTGGAGACTGTGATATGATGAAGTGAGTGTGATATTTTTGTGACTTCACCCTGAAGACAGTCTATGTCAAGATAACAGCACTAATTGGCTAAAACCATATTTATACAAAGACCTTCACTATTTTTCTGGCTAGAGAGACCAGGGTAGTAACATCAGAGCAGCTATTGAGTGAGAGTCAAAAAATAAGGGGAAGCTCAAATTCTGTGACCATCTAAATGGCATGCAAAGAACAGGAAAATGTGACTTATTTGCAGGGGAAAAGACAATCAATAGATGCACTCTCTCAGAAGAACTATTGTTTGAATGATCAGACTAGGACTTTTAAAGCAGTTCTTCTGTTTATGCTCAGTGAGATAAAGAGAAATATGCTTGTAATAAAATACAGTGAAATTGAACCAGTGGAATGAAAATATAAACAAGAGCAAACAAATTTTAGAACTAACAAGTCAAATATTTAAATTGGAAAATTACTATTCTGGCTTAGTAGCATGTTGGAGAAGACAGAGGAAAGAATCAGTGAACTTGAAAACGTCAATCAATATTATCCAATTTGAAGATTAGGAGACATGAGTAGCTTAGGGACCTGTGAGACAGTTTCGGGCTCAAGTTAGATTACAAATGTCACAACTATTTAACTGATTTTGATTGAAAGAGGCAAAAAATAAACTAATTTTTATTTTCCATATTTGACTTTCACCTTTTTTCTCCATGGGGTGTCCCTGAAAGGGAATTTCGGACTTTGGTAATTGAGATGGTGATGGCCACGGATATGTCCTGTCATTTCCAACAGATCAAGGCGATGAAAACTGCTCTGCAGCAGCCGGAAGCGTGAGTGTATCTGTGTCACTTGTTTTTTATAGGTGTTTAAGCTGGTACCGGCCCATGTCATTGCTCCTTTAAAATGTACCTCCTTCGGAGAACTTTGTCGAAAAGTCTCATAGTAACTGAGGATATTTGGAGGAAAGAGCATGAGAATTGTATATATCTCAGATGCTTATCAGGGTTGAAATACATAAAAGGGGCCAAAATAATCTGTCCCAATTAGAATTGAAAATATTTCCCCGCAGGAAACCAAATTATCAAAGATCTACTCAATGCAGAGGTGACACACACCAGTCAAGGAGTGACTCTTGGCTTTTTGTCTTTTTGAATGAGCCAGTCATTGCAGAAATAGTTTCGAGTCATTTTTTTCTCCCTCCATTTCTTTTATTTGTGACCTGTTTCTTTGTCTCTGCATTTGATTCAGTTTTTAAAGTGTCCACTCAATACCCATGGAGACCTAGCTGGTGGAATATTCCAGTTGTAGGGTAATGTGATGCTTTTCCCTCAGCTGAAGTGCTTTTCCCTCAGCTTGATATAAGGGAATGGAAGGGATTAAAAAATTAATGCTGTTTTAAAGAAACGCTTATTGAGATTCTGAGAGCTTGATCAGCATGTGCTTGGTTCCTTTGGGTGTACAGGATTGAAAAGCCAAAAGCACTGTCCCTGATGCTGCACACGGCAGACATCAGCCATCCAGCGAAGGAGTGGGACCTCCATCATCGCTGGACGATGTCACTGCTGGAGGAATTCTTCAGACAGGTACCTTGTGCTACCCCTCAGGGCTTTCATCACCAAATAGTTTCTGAATTTCTTATTTCAGCAATGCTATGAGAGCACAGTAATTTTCTTGAGGAGGGAGAGTTTTTAGATTTTTTTTTTTTTTTTTTTTGCCTCCGGGTCAAGTACTGTTTGAATCTTCCATTCTGACTCTCAGAACATATTTCTATCTTATGCATTTCCATTTGCAAAAAGAAAAAGCAGTTTCTTGTAGTAGTGTTTTATAAGTATCATCAGAGGAGCCCTTTGGTTTATGTATTTTTCTAATGGGTTGAGCAAATGTTGACCAATTTGGCATTCTCCTGTGGGATTAAGATGTTAATCTTTTTTTAAAAAAATATATTTTTATTGATTTTTTTACAGAGAGGAAGGGAGAGAGATAGAGAGCTAAAAACATCGATGAGAGAGAAACATCGACCAGCTGCCTCTTGCACACTCCCTACCGGAGATGTGCCCGCAACCAAGGTACATGCCCTTGACCGGAATCGAACCTGGGATCTTTCAGTCCGCAGACCGATGCTCTACCACTGAGCCAAACCGGTTTCGGCTAGATGTTAATCTTTTACTGTTATAATTGGTTGGGTTGTTTCTTTTGAGCTGGCAAACCATATTGTCAAATTCCAAAGCCCGGTGTGGTAACTTGGGGTCAAGAAATCACTAAAAGCCGAGGTTTAAATTATATTTAACTTTATTACACCCAAGACACAGGGCTGTGTTTTCTGAAAGAAATACCAGGCACTTTTATGGGTGTACATTGCTTTAAAAAATGTTTTTAAAGGTGCACAAAGGTTGGATAGACAGGAAAATAAATGTGTTGCAGTAAGATTGATATCTTCTCGCCTGGCTGGCGTGTCTCAGTGGTTGAGTGTCAACCTATGAACCAGTAGGTCTTGATTCAATTCCCAGTCAAGGCACATGCCCGGGTTGTGGGCTTGATCCCCAATGTGGGGTGTGCAAGAGGCAGCTGATCAATGATTCTCTTATAATCGATGTTTCTACCTCTTTCTTCCTTCCTCTCTAAAATCAATAAAAAATATTTTTTAAAAGACTGATATTTTCTCAAGAAGAGTTGCCATGAAAACATCTGCTTTGAGATGTGAGGTCCTGAGGTTGAAGGAGTTGATGTAAGAAACATTCAGATCTCTGAGTCAAACTGACAACAATTGCCAAGAGCAAAATCTCAAATGCTCTGTAGAATGACAGTTTTGCAGTTTCCTTTACATATTTGGAATTAAGGAGGGAATGTAAGGAAGATTACATGAAGGTGGGATAAATCAAAGAGAGGATTGGAATTACAGGATAGTTAACAAGACTTTGTAGCTCTCTTGAGGGTGGTTATGCTTCTGAGGAGTCTGAAAAAGAGGTGTTCCCAAGGTGTGAACCTAGATGAACAGAAACAATGGATGGGACTTGCTTAAGGCAAACATAAACCTTTCCCTAAAGAAGTTATAGGCCTGGGGTGTGACTGTCCACCATGACCTGCCCAGTTAGGAATGTATGATCAGATCACCTTGTGAGGTCACTCTCAGTTACATTTATTATATAGTCCCCATTCTTTTTTTTTTTCTTCACAAAGGCAGTGGGTCATGTAGATGGTGGGACCTAAATTAGAGTTAATTCAAGTTAATGCTGTTAATTCTTACTAATTCAAGAAGGGAGATTCACATCATAGATTCAGAGAAGGCTGATATCCCACAAAATACTACTGAACATTAGGCTCAACTTTGTCTCCTAAAGTAACAAGAGATATGCTCTTTCACTGGTTACTCAGGTTTTTGGAAGGGAATTACTCTTATTTTTATGCTTCTAGTTTAAATGGAGAAATTGTAGAAGGCATCCAAGTATTGCTCTTCTTCTGAACTTGTGCACAATATCTGGAAATGAAGTGGGACTAGAGCTAACACCATATTAAAGTCCAGAAGGTCTTTTATTGCAGTTTTTTTATTCCAGCTGGTTTGAGGCCCGGGACTAACTAAATTATTTTTCAATGGTCTTATTTGTGATTTTTTTTTTTTTTTTTTTTTTTTTTTTTTTTGTGAGGGAGGGTAGGAGGAGTTGTTGGAACTTAAGGGAAGCTTAAACTAGATTTTTTTTTTTTACGGTCCTTCCAGCATTAAGTGTTCTACAGTTTCTTCATTTTGTCTATGGTGCATATCAACCCATATGAACACCCCCCTAAATTGTTATATGAATACAGCAACAGGTACCCCATTCAGCATATGGCTGTTTCCTCTTGCAGTCACTGCTTGGCCTCACAGAGTAGTTTTCAAGGAGAATCTGATTGCATAGGAGGAACTGGAATAGTACAGGTGTGGCTCTGTTGAATATACGAGAATAACTGCAAATTCATCCTTAATCGAGAGTTAATTTTGAACCATTTTCCCAGAAGCTATTTTTCTAATATGAGTGAGACTATTTTCTCCAAACATCCATTTCCCTTATCATATGCTTTTTTTTGATGCTGCTTTTGCAATACACACCCATGGCTAATAGTATTTGATCTGCAGCCAAAGTTAGATCATAGCTAACTCATATAAGTTTGAGGTATTGATTTCTTTTTTTAATTGTGAGAGAGTGAATATGAGAAATTACTTAAATATTTGAACATTTTTCCCATAAAGGAAACCTTGTTTGCATACACATATGCTTGAATTGAATGAAAATATGCTAGAGGCAATGTGAAAAGAGCCATATTGAATTTCTTGCCTTTGGGAATGGAATGTTAGCTCACTGCACCAGAATGGCTTTTAGTAATTATGGTTCAGTAAATTATTTTTATTGATTTAATATTTTAACCTAGATGTCATAAGGCCATTGTAAGTAATCCACTTAATAGAAGTGTTGCTTCACTCTTAGCTGTAGGTTTTAAACTGGACAGTGCAAATGGGAACTCTCAATGGGACCTTAGAATCCTTGAAAAAAAAAAACACATTTGGAAGTTGGATTATATTTCAAGATAAGGGCATAGACTCAGTATTAATACTAGACCTTTTAGGCTTTGCTAAAAAATAAGTTACATCTTCAGTTTTTTTCCTTTTAATATATTTTTATTTATTTCAGAGAGGAAGGACAGGAGAAAGAGCTAGAAACATCAATGATGAAAGAGAATCATTGATCAACTGCCCTCCTGCACTCCCCACACGGGATGGAGCCCACAACTCGGGCTTGTGCCCTGACTGGGAATCAAACTGTGACCTCCTCGTTCACAGGTCGATGCTCAACCACTGAACCATGTCAGCTGGGCACATCTTTAGTTTTATAATCCTATTTTACAAAATCCAAGCCTCAGGGTGCTTTTCAGTAAAATATTGGCTTTAATGAAGTACCTTCTTTAATGAAGTGTTCATTTGCCTTTTTGAAAAATACATGTTGTAAGAGTCTTGGGATTCATTTCTGCTGTATTTCTGTATATGTTATATTTTGTAGATGTCCCCTGTAATTCTTTGAATTTCCTCTGTGTCTGCGATTATTTTCTTATTTTTATTTCTCATTTCATATATTAGTGTTTTCCCTTTTTTCTCTATGAAGTTAGCTCTTTGTTTCATTGTGTGTTTTTTAAAAAAAATTATAAAACTTTATTTGAAATTTTCATTTTTATTAATTCTTTTCTTCTATTTGAATTTATTTTGTTCTTTTGCTAAGTCCCTGAGCTGAGTACTTTATTCATTTCTTTGTGTACCACCTGTTTAATATTAGAGCACACAGGGCTAGGTATTTGTCTTTTTTTTTTTTAAATCATGAATCTCAGAGGTTTTGCTATGCACCGAGATTATTATTCTGAATTTTACAGATTGAAAAACTGAGAGGTAGAAAGAGAAGGTGAACGTTCTTTGATCACACAGCTAGTGGGAGGATGGCCAGAGTCAAGCCCAAGGCAGTAGCCATTAACCCCAGCAGATTCTTTCATAATAAAGTGAATGAACACAACGGGATGGCCATTAGTATGTGGTGACATGTTTCCTTTCCTCGGGGTGTGTGACTGAAGGGCTGAGCTTCTGGTTCAGGTTTTTAAAAACCATCATCATTACTTAGACTTTCCATGGCGCCTGCTTCTTACAGCGGTGCTTTTTGGTGAGACTGTGAATCACGTTTTGTTACTGTCTAACTCGATAAACACAAGCAGTTACTTACTGCTCTGCTTGCTCAGCCCACTTTGCATTATGGTCCCAGGCCTGCGGCTAAGAGTCCAGAAGCACGCGCACCAGTTGTGTGTGGTTTTAGGTAGCAAAGGAGAGGAGATTCACATCAGTCAGTTTGAAGTTTTCTTCTTTAAAAAATAGATTTTTATTGATTTCAGAAAAGAAGGGAGAGAGAAACATCAATGATGAGAGAGAATCATTGATTGGCTGCCTCCTGCAGACCCGCCACTGGGGATCGAGCCCACAACCCGAGCATGTGCCCTGACTGGGAATCAAACTATGACCTCCTGGTTCACGCTCAACCACTGAACAATACCTGCGGGGCTGAATTTGTGTCTTGAACACTGCCCGCACCTGGGAGGGAATCACTGGCTCAAGAGAGGCCTCAGATGTCAACACAAGACAATTGGAAAACAGGTGGCAGGTCTGAGTGCCATTTGGCCCTAGGCCACAGGACGGTGTTGCTTTCCGTCCTTTCCTTGGGGACCTGTGGTGCCCAGTGAGGCCGTCTGTGCCACGCCAGGCACTCCGCAGTGGAGGGAAGGATGGAGCCAGCAGCCTTCGGCCTCATGGTGTCTGTTATGCAGAGAAACGGCCCCAAAAGGACTTGGTACATAATGTAATGGTAATAATTAAAACAAAGGCCACTGGCCTTCTGGCAGCTAAGTTGCTGCATAAAATCTGGGTGGCTTGGCCTGCTGTTCTTAACTCACTGTGGCCTTCTGTGATTCTAGGGGGACAGAGAAGCAGAGTTGGGGCTGCCTTTTTCTCCTCTGTGTGACCGGAAGTCGACCATGGTTGCTCAGTCGCAAGTAGGTACGTGTTTGCCCGGCTTGGGAGAGAAGGAAAGACCTGAGGGGGTGTCCGGCCGTGAGGGCAGAGGCTCTCAGTGCCTCCCCGGCTCCAATCTGCTGTGCTCTGCTCCTGCCTTCAGCTTGGTGGGTTGCTGGAGCTCTGTTCCCACCCTTCTCCCCGAAATGGGCTGTTTCATGGGGAGAGTAGACGGTGACATTGCCGTCTCCATCATCTCCTGCCAAGAGAAAAGGGCCTCAACTTTCCAGGGTGATGACAGGAGTCAGTGGCAGGAAGTCCATTTTTCGTGCAGCCAGGGACATCTCATGCCACTTTCCTCAGGGATGTCCGCAGGACACCCAACTCCACTTTCCAATCCCCTCCCTCGCCCCCTCCCTTCTTTCCTTCCTTCCTCCTCCCTTCTTCTTTCCATCCCTCTCTCCTTCCTCCCTTTTCCTTTCTTTCTTTCTTCCTTTCTTCCTTCTTCCCTTCCTCCCTTCGTTCCTTTTACCTTCCCTCCTTCCTAAAAACTTTTGAGCACCTTTTCTGTGTGGTAAGGATAACTTTTGCGTGCACTGCTACTAAGCATAATGTATGTGCATTATAAAAATCCTCAGCTATGAGAGTCCTAGTGTCACTAAATTGTCACAGTGCCCTCCAGCTGAAAAGAATCTGAAATCATTCAAAAAATAAATTCAATAAGGATTTGATTTTTTTCTACCTGTGTTTTGAGAACTCATTTTTTAAATAACAATGCACACATTGAGTCCCTGTTAGGCGTAGAACACTGCTAGACTCTATAATGGTTGTTAAAAAAAAAAAATCAAAGACAAATTATACATGGTACCTGCTCTCAAAGACATGGAGCCAATATTTGGTGGTGGGCGAGACGTTATGAAAATAAATCCCACTGGAGTGTGACAGTGTTAAGGTAGTTTTGTGCTTCATGTAATCAGGGGCAAAATAGAGTGTGTGAGCCGCTAGGCTCAGAAAGACTTGTCGAGGGGTGATATTTGAGTTGGGTCCTAAGAGATAAGTAGACAAATGGAGCTATGCAATACAGGTGTGCTGGGGGCAGCTGTAGGGCAGTTCAGACAAGGGATTAGCATATAATAAGCAGGGAAATTTAAAACAGTATAGGAAAAGCAGGGAATTACAAACAGTTCCGAATAGCTGGAATAGTGGGTAGAGAATAGAATGAAGCGAGAGACATGTTGAGAGAGAAAATCAGGCCCAAATTATGGATTGCATAAAGATAGCATGCGCTTTATACTTCCCTGTCGGAAGTGAGAGTGTATCTAAAGCATTTTAGGTAAGGCTTAAACATATACAGATGGGCTACACCTGGGACACTGCTTTGGGCTCTCTGTTTCTTTCCTTAGACTTTAGGGGTCATGTTTGTGCTCCTTTAATGTCTCCTATAAACAGAAGGCAGGCAGGGAATGCCACACACCTTAGTCTTTCATGCAGCGCCTATCACAGCATTTGTTGCATAGTGGAGATTGAATTCGTATTTTTAAGCACTTGATTGGAACAATCTACTAAAAAGTCAGGAAAATTCTGTGGGAGAAGCAGAGCTGATTCACAATACTCAAATCAAGGAACATATTAAGTGAATGAGACCCCAGTCTGGTCTGAGGCTCCTGTGTAGGCGGATTTGAAAGCTAACGCTTCTCTGTTTTGGGGGGAAAGGCCCGGTGCAGAAAGGCCCGGTGAGGATGCAGTTTCCCTGGAGCGTCGCTGTTTCTCCGCAGGTTTTATCGATTTCATCGTGGAGCCCACCTTCACGGTGCTCACGGACATGACTGAGAAGATCGTGAATCCGCTCATTGAGGAGACCTCCCAGGCGGGCGGGACAGGGCAGCGGCGATCAAGGTCAGTGGAGAAGATTGAAGGCTGGGGTCAAGTTGGCCTCATCTTTGGGAGGGATGGGGGTGTGTTCCATAATGGTGCTTGCCTTCCCCCTTTCCTATAAGAGAGTTGTCTGCCTTTTCCTTCTCTCAGAGGAGTTGAAGTTACATTGTTTGCACTCTCTGGGCTGGCCTGGAAGGCAGTGACCACGGTCTAAATCAGTGGTTGGCAAACTCTTTAGTCAACAGAGCCAAATAGCAACAGTACAACGATTGAAATTTCTTTTGAGAGCCAAATTTTTTTAAACTTAAACTTCTTCTAACGCCATTTCTTCAAAATAGACTCGCCCAGGCCGTGGTATTTTGTGGAAGAGCCACACTCAAGGGGCCAAAGAGCTGCATGTGGCTCTTGAGCCACAGTTTGCCGACCACTGGTCTAAATGATGATTGGCAGGTACCCAGGAGAGCACATCTCTCCCGCTCATTCTCTCTCTTTTGGTGCTTTGCTCATGGCAGGTTTAACCATCCCGATGCCATTACTTATTAGCTGTGCCTCAGTTTCCTCATCTGAGAAAATGTGGATGATAGTACTCAGAGGTTACATGGAGGATTAACTGAGTTGTTCAATCTTGGTAAAGCCCTTACAACAAGGTCCAGCACAGAGGAAGCACCAGCTACACTTGAGCTATCACTTAGCCTTTATTAGTGGTATGCCTGCCGCTCCTCCTGTCCATGCAAAACCTTGGGCTTTGTTACACAGGAGAAAGGAAAGAAATGGAATGAAAAGACTAAAGAGCAGAAAAGAGCAAGAGGGGGAGCAAACCACAAGATGGGAAGGCAAGAGGAATGTTGGGGCAGTGGGACCCGAGGAACACTCAAGGCAGATGAGCCCAGTCAAGGCTGCAAACAAGGGGGACTGAGGCCCCTGCCCAAGTCCCACAACCCACAGCTCTGCAGACACTGGGCTGAACTGTACTGTACTCTGCTTATGGAGTCAGCCTCGGGAGTCATCCAGTGGGTTGGCATTCATGCCAGTCACTGCTTAGGCACCTGGGAGTGTGTGATACTTTTCATTAAAGTTACCCAGAAGGATGGCACTTTCTAAATTTGCGAAGTATCTCATGTTTAAAGTGTAAAGTAATATTGGTATAAAAAACGTCTCTTGCATGACTGCTCTTCCCCTTCCCCCAGGAACATAAGGAAATCACCCAGCCTGGACCTCGGGGATCCAGGGATCAGAGGTGTCCAACTACAGGGAGAGGCATGGCTGGAGAGAAGTAGGACTAAGTGACTGAGTGAGTTGGAATAGTGGTCAGAGAGGAAGCAGGTGGATAAACTGTGGAACCAAGTTGAAGTTCAAGTTCAAACTAGTTGATTGCAGAAAACCGAGGACAGGAAAGATCACCCAGGGGATTCTAGTCATGTTCAAAAAAGAGGTTTCCAATCAACAACAACAACAAAACGTAGGGATTATCGCTTCTCAGGAGGCTCAAATATTGATTTTCTTTTTCTGCTGAAAATACAAAGTTTCCCATCTGTCACAAGTAGAAAATGAGAATTACAAACCTCAGGACCCAGGAATTTCACAGCTATAACTCGATGATGGCTAACCATTCCTCATCTGAGCCTGCTCCCAGGCAAACACTGAACGCTCCTCTTCCAATCCATCTTGCCTAATTCATTTCTTGTGTGTGATTCCCCCCCTCCAGTTTGAACAGCCTCAGTTCTGCAGATGCGAAGCGATCGGGGGTTAAGAGCGCAGGCTCAGAAGGAAGTGCCCCAGTCAACAATTCCGTCATCCCTATGGAGTACAAGAGTTTCAAAGCCACTTGGACTGAGGTCGTGCACGTCAATCGGGAGCGGTGGAGGGCCAAGGTGCCCAAAGGTAACCTTCTATTGGGGGGTCTTTTAGGAGGCCTGTCCAAACCACCGAGCACCTGCTCATACACAAGGCTTGCCACCCTCATTTATAGCTGTTGCAAAGGAAGCAGAATCTCAGGATAGAGATTCAATGGCTAAATGTTAGCATTTACCCTTTTTTTAAATTTTTATTTTTCAATTACAGTTGACATTAAATATTATTTTATACTAGAGGCCTAGTACACCTCCGTGCACTGGTTGTGGTGGTGGTGGGGTGTATATCTCAGCCCGGTTTGCGCTCTCTTACAGTCTGGGACCCCTCAGGGTCCTTAGCGCTGCTGCTACCGCTACTGTGCTCGCCAGTGGTGAGCCCAGCTTCTGGCTGAGGAGTGCTCCCCCTGTGGGAGCACACTGACCACAAGGGGGCAGCTCCTGTGTTAAGCATCTGCCCCCAGGTGGTCAGTGCGTGTCATAGCAACCAGTCATTCTGCTATTCAGTCAATTTGCACATTAGGGTTCTATTATATAGGATTAATTTCAGGTGGACAGCATAGTGGTTAGACATTTATATAACTTACAGAGCAATCTCTCAATAGGTCTAGTATTTGCCTGACACCATACATGGTTACAGTATTATTGACTCTATTCCTTATGCTAACTTTACATCCCCATAACTACCAATTTGTGAAAAAGTATTCACCCTCTTTTGATCCTCATTTTATTTAAAACTCTATGCATGAATGGATGGCGCAGACCTCCAGACCTCCCCATAGCATGGCCTTGACTGTCATGCCAGGTTCTGTGCCAAGGGTGCAGAGATGAGAAATAGACATCCTTGTCATTGAAGCTCCTGGGTGGGAGAGGATGTCAGTACGGAGTTTCTTTCAAAGGAAGAAAGGGAGTTGTGCTCATCACTCGCACCCACCAGCCCTGTGTGACCCTCCCTGCAGGCAAGGAGGGTTTCACCCCCAAACATAACCTGCCATACTTTCACCTACCCAGTGTCTACACAACAGGGGCGAGCGTGGAGGGGCTGCACTGAACAGGTGTTGGCCATCTTGGTTCCTCGTACATTGGGTTGCTGCTTCCAGTGAGGAGGGGAGAGACCTCCCTCCCTTGGAGTTGGAGTTATTCCAAGGAAAACTACTGTGACTTACTCACAAACCCCTATCGGGGCGGCGGCTCATTCCAGGCGGTGCAATAGGTTTATATTTCCGGCGCCTTTAAGGCCTCATTGGGCCCTTATCAATTCCGGACAAATGTTGCACCCTGAGCTCTGGAAGGAGCCCGTGCCTCTTCCCTATCTTACCAATAGCCCCTCACAGCCCATCAGAGGCCTTCAACATTGAAATCCTCACTGTTGGCAGGCGTTGCAAGCAGGGACGGTCACCACTGCATCGTCTCCAAGGAAGCAGGCATTTGTCATCAATTACACTCATTACACTTGGAAACGCAGGCCCTGACAACGCTCAGTGTGAAGAGGCACTTCAGAGTAATTTGCTGGCGATCATCTGGCTTTCTAAAATTACCCCCTAAATACATCACCTGGGGGAGCACTGCACAGCTTCTTTGCCCGGGGAAACTGGCCCTTTGAAAAGGACAGATACATAAACAGCTAATAATTCTTAAATCTATTAGGGAAGCTGATATGCTTAAGCTATTTTGGACACATAAATGGGCTTGTTCCTAATCCTGCTGGGAGTATTTGGGAAGGCATCTATGGCCAGGACTTGCAGGACCCTGGGCTGGAGCCCAGAAGAAGGCATTGTGTTTAGAAATAGGAAACAGAATTTAAGTTCTAGTAATAAATCAAGTCCTAATAGAATAATTATAATACAGTAACTATGTCTTCTTCAGCCGAAATAAGAACAGTTGCCTATATTGACAAGCCTATTTGATTAAAAGAAATTAATCTGATTTAATATTATAAATACATGCAGTTAATTCCTAGTGTTTATGGAGAAACTCTTGTCGTAAGTGTGATTTAATGTTTGCCAGTCATGTTAGTCTGGGTCTTAGTATGTGACTTGAAACTGTTAGGATGAAAACATAATGAATCAAAGTCACTTTGATGTGAGCTCAGATAACAGCAACCAAATATTTTTACTGATGTCAGTAACTGCTGTGCAATGCTTAGTGAATAAGTAAAAAAATGAAGAAGAGGAAGAACAACAACAAAGAAATAGGGAACAGAGAGAAAAGGGACAGGCAGAGCCCGAGTTATGTATATTTTGTGAGAAGAACATGTGGCCATCAAAGCCAACTCCAGTCAGTGCGAGTAGGGCAATTTGAATCCCCACTCACCTTGTCCTCTTTGGCCAATGCAGGTAGATTCTTTGAAAAAATTCCATTTGGGGCAGGGGTGGGGAACATCTGGCCCGCGGGCCTTGTTGTAAAGTCCTCAACATCATTTGGTCTGGCCCTGCCAAGATGTTAGGGGTGAGTTAATTAAATGTTTGACCAAATAGAGCAGGCTAATGTTTAAGTTGATACTTTTTTTATGGCCCGAAAATGATGTTATCAACATCCAAATGGGCCTTGGCAAAAAAAGAGGTTCCCCACCCCTGATTTGGGGGCTGATAATACATATCACAGAGCTAATGCGAAGAACAGAAAAGATACAGGGTGTATACACACTTTAACAACTGATAGCTCAATTTTGAAAATGAAATATGTTTTAATAAACACTGCCTTTATAAGTATTCCGTGTGTATATACATTTTTGGGGACACCCTGAATGTAAGGTGCAGGGGACAGAGCCTGCACATGGCTGGTGCCTGTAAGTCTAGCCATTACTTTTCAAATTGGAAAGGAAAGTTGAACGCCAAGTTAAGAAGACTGTGGTAAAATGCCCACCTATGACTAATATTTTATTATATTTTCAGCCTCCCAGGAATGCTGTTGACTGGCTGATGGATGTTAAGAACACCAGTTTATTTCCATTAGCGGTCAATTTGAATTAGATGACCTCAGGCTGTTTTGCTTATTGTTCTTTTTAGAGAACCCTGACTTCATGAAAGCTCCCTGCGTGGGGCACTTGAACATGTGTTGTTATCAAACTGATCAGAAATGGGACTGGCTCTACAGTTTTGATTGTATTCGCTAATCTGATCTACAAAGCTCGGTAGGCCAGAACCCATAGTTGTTAGGAAAGATTGTGTCAATACCTTTTATAGCTCTGAGAGCTGAAAAATCATTATTTCCAAATAAAGGTGTATAGCTATAACCATTCGCAGGTCTGATCAATGTTGATACATTTCCATTCATTATTTAATACTTTATAAACCTTTTTTCCCCCCACTGGTATAAGAATAATGCATGTTTAGGTTATAATGCAGAAATATAATTTTAAAAAATATAAAAAGAAAATAAAGTCACTTACAACCTCTCTAGCCAGATATAACTGTTATTGAAATTCTGATGTAATTCTTTTTTATTTGATTTACCATGCATTTATATAAGTAAAAGAATTTCCTGTAAGATGGGATCATAGTATAATACTGCCTTGTATTTTACTTTCTTTTTCTATCTTGAGCATTCTATCCTGATGCTGAATAGGTTTAGAAAGTATGATTTGGATGGCTACCTTGAATCATTCCTCTATAGAGCATTTTGTTTTCAGTTCTACAATATTGTATATAACATTGTTATGAACATACAATTTTAAAAAACCTTTGAGGCTACCTCTGATTATTTGTCTGGGATAAGTTTCTACATGTGGAATTTTTTTGAAAAAAATAAGTGAAAAAAAACAAAAATCTAAAGCTCTTGATATCTACTGGCAAAATTTTCTCAAAAAAATTTTTTTTAACTTATGTTTCCTCCCAGTAGAAGTATAGTGAGAATGTCTATTTCTACCGTCATTATTATTTCATGATAACTCTTCATATATTAAGGAGAATAATTCTTCAGTTGGCAAAGTATGTTGCAATTTCTGCCCTATTTGATTGTCAATGCCTTTTAACTTGGACAGAATGGTCTTTGAAAGTACATCCCATTTTTATTTTACTAGAGGTTACCATTAGATTTTTTATTGAATTATGTGTCTATCAATGTAAATATCAAATAGTATGTAGTGATACTCCTTCGCAAATGCTGAGAAACTTATTGAATTTTTACTTATTTTCTCCATATTCACCAACTTTTATTGAAATAATATGAGATTGTCAATCTAGGTGATTATAAATAAATTATTCATCTATAATGAACTTACCATTTGATATTATTTTATATTTGCATCTAGTTTTATTTCTAGCTTGATAACAGTTACTTTTAAGCACTGAGATTTGCTAGTTTTATGGAACAGATTAATGTATTTCCTTATTAAGTTTTTGACATTGAATTTTTCTGTCAGCTGGAGCACTTCTTTGGGCCAATACTTTCAGAAAGGACCTGTGGGCACGCCTGACTCCTTCGATGTCTAGAAGTGCCTTTCTGTCAACCGAGAGTTGACTGTTCAAAATTCATATGGTATTATTTTTTTCAGTTAGTAATTTCTCTCTCTGTGTTTCTAAGTAGGTTAAGTAGTCATTTAAAAAAATTATATCAAGCGATAACCAGCCTGATACTATTTTAACTAACTGGCCTATCGTGTCATTATATAGAAAGACAAATTAAATGAAGACATCAATGTATTTCTCCAAAACTGCAGGGACATTCTGTGTGAGATAAAAGCAGCTCTCTTTCAGGAGGACTGTCATTTATGGATCATGAAACCTCCGCTCTACTTGCACTCTCTAGCTGCTTGCTTTCGGCCATTTCATCAAGAGTCACATCACAGATATTCTGAGATGGTTTTGAACAGCACATTTGCTTTCTGCCAGCATAGAAGCCTGGGAGTGCCAAGCATGTCAAATCCAAGACCTGGGAAAGTTAACTCTATGCACACATGCCATCATTGCGATCTGTGAGCACATTCAGATTGATTGCGCTCTCACCTGCTTTTTCTCACTGTAGAAAAATTTTATGTGCATTAATAATTTCACCCTGAAAATATAAGGGAAGCTGATTACCGTGGAACAGACCTATCTCCTGTTGATTTAATCTCCTTTTGCTTCTTGATGTGTTTATTTTGAGGGGTGCCACTTTAAGGGCTGAAGTTGAGCATACCGATATCAGAGATAGGAGGAAGAGGTGGTAGCAGAAAGGTGAAGGGCAGTACAGAGCCACCCACCTGGAGCATGATCGCGCCAGGGAAAGGAATCATATAGCGGGGCCAGCTTGAATCGGAGTTGATTATGATGTCGTAAGAGATGCCATTTGTTAATTTAAATATTAATTGCCTGCTGTCAGCTGTAGTTGAGCAAAAACAGATTTGTTTCTGAAATGCACCCCCTGCCCAGTTTTCATTTTTGCTGGATTTCCCATAGAAAATTGGTCTGACTCAGTTGTCAAAGGAATTTTTATTGCTCAGATCATCTTTTATGCTGTTTTGTAGTAAACCAGATTTCAACACCGTCAGTTTTTAATCAAAATTATTTTTAACGTGGGGATGTTTTAAATGTAGAAAGTTTACCACAGATTCAGTGGGCTTCTGGGAGGGGAGTATACATTATTTTATCTGAAGCCCAAGTTTGAATGAATTCTCTCCTGCCATGCCTCAGTTTCCCTCTCTGCACAATAAGAACAGTCATCTTTTTACTCACCTACATTATGGTTAAGGAAACCACGATTTGTCAAGCAGCTAAGTCTTTTGGGGAAGGACATTATATTTGTCTACTTCTTGTACTTATTCCGGTCTGGATTGCTGATGATGGAATATATACCAGCTAGGCTCATTGGAAGAGACTGTGGACGCACTGTGGACATTTGTTTAGTCAACAAATGCTCCAGGAGCATCTGCTATGTGTCAGGTGCTGTACCAAGCACTGGGGATTCAGAGATGGAGGTGACGTTTGGTCCTTGTCCTCTGGGCACTGCAGAAGGAAGAGAAGAAGTGGACGGGCATTCTAGCAGGCCTCCTGCGCCCCGCGGTCTATAGAGAATGCCATCTCACCATCTTCTTCTGCAAGGCCGCTTTTTTACTCTTTAGTTGTACTTTTCTGTGGAAGTCAGAAGACATATTATACGATATCCTATAAAATAAAAGGCTAATATGCAAATCGACCAAACAGCAGAATGACCAATTGCTATGACACACACTGACCACACAGGAGCTGCCCCGGTGGTCAGTGTGCTCCCACAAGGGGAGTGCTGCTCAGCCAGAAGCCCTGAGCCAAGTTCAGAGCTGGTGAGTGCAGCAGCAGTGGCAGGAGCCTCTCTGGCCTCCAAGGCAGCGCTAAACATGCCTGACTGCCAGCTCTGCCCGCTCCCCGTGAGGGCTCCTGGACTGCAAGAGGGCACAGGCTGGGCTGAGAGATTCCCCCTCCCCTCAGTGCATGAATTTCATGCACCGGGTCTCTAGTGTGCACATAATTGTGTTATTTTGTAAAGAAACCTTTCTTTACCTTGTCATTGTAAATTATAATGACATCCTGTCAGGAAAGGAGGATGTCATAAAATATTGAATGGAAATCATTTAAACTTTAAAGAAGTGCTTGTTAAATTGTGTATTGGAATCATCCAGAGAGCATTTACATACCCTACTCTCACTCTTCATTTGTGTTGTCTGGGGTGAGGCCAGGGCATTGGTTTGGGTGGGGTGGATGGGTATCAATGAAGGGATGAATAAACATCTCATAATGTTTCAAGGAGAACATCTGAGCCAAGCAAATGTAAGGGCAGAAAATGTAAAAATAAAGCCGGAGGTTATAGACATCCACAAAGTCCAGTATCACAAAGCCCCAAGAACATGGACACCAGCACCAAATTTGGGATTTGTGCCCTTTAGCAGCTAAAACAAAGGGAAATATAATCACATGCATAACCCACCACTCTGGTGCCTATTAGATTAAAAGTAATCCTGTTTTTGTCCATGAAAGTCAGCTTTTGTGGAAACCAAGACTAACCAAGGGAAATGAAGAGGACCCCTGACAATGAGGTGTAGGACGCTGTTAGCACATCTAGAGGGGGGAAAATCAGCAATGTTTTTCATAATGGAGGCTGAAGGCACAGTCGGAGAGGCCTTGTGTGTGAAATAAATGCTAAATCTTCAGGCCTCTACGGAGGAATGGTCTCTGTTAGGTGCCTTCCATGTATGTTATTTCCTACAGCCCAGCTCCACTTGGCGGCCTCCAAGGCCCTGTGTGGTCTCAACCCCATCATGTCCTTGGTTATTTGACCACATCATCTGTCACTAACCCTTCTCTCAATGGGCTTTAGCCATACTGGCTAACTCAGTGTCCCTTGCACATAGCAAACTCATTCCTACTCCTTGGCCTTACCTTTTTCCTTGGCCTAGAAAGCTATTTCCCATGATCATCTCATGGCCAGCAACTCATCCTTAATATTCCGTCAAATGCCAGCGTCTTCACTCTTTGGCTGGTCGTGTTCTATCACATTACTTACCATTTTTGCAAAACCCTTTTTGCCAATGAAATTCTCTGTCTCTTAGTGGTTTGCTCACCTGTTAATGGTTTTCTCTGCTTGCTGACATGTGACCAGCACCTAAACTGGTGCTTGGCACTGCAGCTGTTCAAGAAATATTAGTTGCATGAATAAGCCTCTTTTCATAAATACATGACTAGATGCAGGTAGGCTATGTTTTTGTTTAAGTACAGAGCCAGAGCCTTTCGCAGTCAACTGAATGGGAAAGCAGGCTGACACCCTCTCAGTTAAGGGGACACAGATAAGGACACCTGGCCCAGCTAAGCGCCACCTCTCATCTGTGGACGGTTTGCAGACATGTTTTTGAAGACTTAATTAGCCTCTTCCTATCGATGCTTTTAACGTTACAGTGATCTGAAACTGTATTATTCTAGTGGTGGGGACTTTTTACTTGGTTTAAACTCCAGGATCCCAGCAAACCTACAAGAAACTCCATTTTTTTCCTGTGACCATGAGAGATTTTGCGGCCTCTGAGCCTCAGTTCCACATTGTAAAGTAACATTGTTCTGAGAATGAAAGGAAATGATTTTTGGAAAGCATTTAGCATCAAACCTGGCACAGGGGACACACTGATGAGAAGTTATTGATGATAATACTATTATTAGTAATGCCAATTACAATATTGGTTTATTAATTATTATTATTATTACTTTCTCCCTGTCTCTTCTCCTAATCCATTGATTTCAGAAATTGTATAACATGACCTGATTTTATTTATTTCCTGAGTATCCATGCCAATCTCACTTGAATTAACTGAAAATAAACCCAAAACTCTCAGTGGCGCCTTCGGTCACCTGAGTGTATTATTGCCAGTGCCATACCAGGTTTTGTGCAAAGAGGCAACTCCCCTCATGACGTGACCTCTCTCTGTCTTTCCAATGCCTTGCCCACCTTGCTGTGGACACAGAAGAGAAGGCCAAGAAGGAAGCCGAGGAGAAGGCTCGCCTGGCTGCGGAGGAGAAGCAGAAGGAAATGGAAGCCCAAAGCCAGGCAGAAGGCGCGGCCGGCCAGGCGGACAAAAACACACCCGGGGAAGCTCAGAGTCAAGTCAACGGAACGCGTCCCAACAAGAGCCACAACGCTCGTGGGAAAAACGCCAAAGAGAAGCCGTCAGGAGACAAGCAGCAGAACGGTGAGTGGAATCACCGGGAAAAGTCTCCTCTGGGGTGGGTGACAATATCACTGACAGTTAATGAACGCTTACCGTGTGCTGGACATTGCTGGTGAGATTTCACGTTCACAGAACCATTTACAAATCCTAACAACGCTGCGTGGGGCCTACATACATCCCCATTTTGCAGGTGAGGAAACAGATTCAGAGAGGTGAGACCGCTGGCTTAGGTCAAGCACCCCTGAGGCAGTAAGTTCAGGTCTGTGTGAGTCCAAATTCTGTAATCCGCAGTCAGCAGGTTCCTACTAGCTGGTGCTTTCGGGGGGGGGGGGGGGGGGAGGGGGAGGGAGAGGAAGAAATAGGAGAACTATTGACTCAGCCACCGTCCACAAACACCCTATAGTCAGCTTACTACAGGCTAACACTCCCCTCCGTGAAGGACCAGGGAGTACATATTTTGGGGTTTGTAGGCCATGCGGGCTCCATTGCAGCCACTCAGGGCTGCTGTTTTGGGATGAAAGCAACCAAAGGTAATTACATAAGCAGATGAGCATGGCTGAGTTCCCATAAAACGTTATTTATGAAAGTGGAAATTTGAATTCTATATAGTTTTCCCACATCATGGAATGGTCTTCTTTTCCCACCTCAACCATTTAAAACATGTAAAATCTGTTCTTAGTGTGTGGGCCATATGAAACCAGGGCAGGTTTGGTCCACAGGCTACAGCTTGCCAACCCCTGGTCTGGCCAGGGAGAGAAGCGAATGAGCACAGGCGTGCTGGTGACCAGGAGGGTTGTGCCATGGGAGGGGTACTAGCAAAGGCCCAGAGCGGGCAGAGGTGGCAGCAACTGCTCCGAAGGGGACCAGAGGAGCCTGTGAGAAGCAGAGCAAGAGCCTGAGTGTCCAGCGAGCCTGGGTGAATTTCACAGCCGTGCTGATGTCCCAAAGTAAGCAGCTGTCTTTCATTTCCCCTAAAATCTAGGTGTGAAATGAGAGGTGGAAAAAAGAAATCTGTTTAGAGGGATAATCAGAAAGGCTAATGGAGATTCAGGACTGAGTCGAAGCAGCCTAATTAAAATGATTTATAACCGCTCACAGCAGCCGTTACTATAATACATACACAACCCGTGGGAAATTACCCAATGGGTTTCCTTGAGGAACATCATCAAACAAGCACCAGTCACTTTCCCAGCGCCCCTCCTTGTGGCCGCCCAAGGTATTTCGGGGTGAGAGCTGGAGGACCCTGGATGAGTGGGATTCCGGGGGTTGGGACCCCTAGGAGCAATTATAGGATCTACTAAGTGCTGGTCTCCATCCAGGCACTTCCCCCTCAGCCTCCCCACCCCCGACCAAGGGGAAGGCAGGCTGCCACGGGCTGCTGGCTAGCATCTGGCAAGCTGAACTGCTCCTGCTGGCTTCTGGAAGGCATCCTGGTCTTGCTGCATCTGTGGGAAAAGCTCTGGTCCAGGGCAACCTGAAAGGCTCAGCATAGAGTGTATTAAGGATGTGAAGGCTCAGTGAGTACCGAAAGGCCATTTTTCTATAGGCAGTTAGTTTGACTACAAGGCTCAAGATCCTTGAATCATCTCTGCCATCCTTAAAACAGGGATGAGCCAGCATATGGATTATTTCATGGCACCTCCAAAGAAACTCATCCGTTTTGACCATTGGTGATGATAGAGGGTGATGACCACATTCTTTACTTACATGCCTCCTGCTTGTGGCTGCTCTTCCCCTCCCTCCATCCAGCCAGTACAACCTATTTCAGAATTAAGAATGGGAAAATTTGGAGAGTTTATTGACTTCTAACATAGTTTAGGATTTGTCACATTTCATTAAAATACTTTGTAGAAGATGTCAGGGTAAAAAATGGTTTGCATTCTTCTTAAAAAGCCATTTATCAGTCTGAAGGTCAAAGGCATTTAGAGGTGGTGCCATCAATAGGATCTTGAAGTCTAAAATTTGAGCTTCCTAGGAAAGTCCCAAAATACAGTAGTTGAGAGGCTGGCCTCTACAATCAGACCCATCTGTGATTATCGTGGTAAGTAACTTTATTTATGGCATAACATGGAGATGATAGGGGTTTCACATCAATTCTTCACAGGTCGATTTAAGCAAACCCTCTTTGTGGAAAGATCAATCGGCCATTTGTTAAAAAACTGTCAGACAGATGGCTTAAACCAGGGCTGTGGTGGACAAGAGGGGCAGTTTCAGAGGGAGACCCACATGGAAGGGCAGGGGCAGAGGTGGGGCCCAGTGAATGCATGAAGCCCAGGACTGACCAATATGTAGACAGGTCGCTGCAGTGAAGGAAAAGCTCAAGCTTGGAAAAACCTCCTCAATCATTTGGTGAGTTAGTTGTTCAGCAGATTGGTCATTTAGTGAATTAAACATTGATGAATTTGCCTCCTGCCAGTAACAGCACCTTCATAATGGGTTGTTATAAGAATTTAATGAAGTGATGCACAATGCTTGGCACAAATAAAACAAAAAAAGTCAATATCTCCTGGGCCCGGCTTGCTCCTTCCTGGTTGCATTTATTATTAGGGTCCTTTTGCTTCCATAAAACCAGTATGTTAGTGGTAATGCATTGTTGGTTTTACACAGGCTAACAAGAAAGCTACTATTAGACACTGGTAAGAAAAAGCATCCAACACTTGAGAATAGTGCTGGGGGAAGGGGTGCCATGTTTTTTCAATGTATCACTGGCATATTGTTGAATAGACTGCATGTGGGGAGGGGAGGTGGGGATGGAGTGGGGGGTGAGGGTACTTCTCTTAGATCTGCCTCTCTCTCTGAAGGGCTGGATAATAAACAGTGCTGACTTTGAGCATCTCTGATGCAACTGTTCAACTCTGTCACTGCAGCAATAAAGCAGCCCTGAAATACATAAATGAAGGTGTGGCCATGTTCCAATAAAACTTTATTTACAAAAGCAGATAGTAGACTAGACATGGTCACGGGCCATAATTTGCTGACCCTTCCTCTAGGTGACTTTGTTGACTTTGTCATTTACTTTTTGATTCAAGCCCAGGCCCTGTGAAGATAGATTTTGACTGGTAGAGGAGATGACCCCAAAGGTTACGGTTTTATTGCCTTGTAGGACATAGTCAGTTTTGTCTCTAACCTAGCAATCTATTTTAACACATTTTACAAATACCTATAAATATCCAGTTCCTTAAATACTTCTGGAACCATCCTCACTATCTCCCTCATTCCCTCATAAATTTAAATATGTTTTGATGTTTTCATTCTACATTTGTGTGCTAGTGTTTCTTAACTTTTGCCAATTACATTTCGACCAGCTCCTTAATTAGAATGCTATTTATAGCTCTGTTTTAGAATAAAAATAATTGTCATTGAATGATGTGTCAGATACCACATTCAGTACTTGAAATGCATTTGTCCATGCATTCATTATGCCTATAAAATATAATAGATGTTAATATTCCCATTTCACAGATAAGGACACGGAAGCACCTAAAAGTTAAAAAGCTATTCATTGACATCACTTACATTTAACCCAGGCTCTTCCTCACTCCACAGCCTAATAATAAAGTTGAACTGCCTTTCTTGAGGATAAACACCATTGCCTTTAGTACAACCCTGTTAAACAGGAACTTTCAATTCAAAAATATATTTATTTAGAGAGAGGAAGGGAGAGGGACAGAGAGAGAGAAACATCATCAATCAGTTGCCTCCTGCCTGCCCCGCAATCCGGGCATATTCTCAGATCTGGAATCGAACCAGTGAATTCTTGTTTCCTGGGTCGATGCTCGCTGAGCAACACTGGCTGGGCAGAAACTTTAATTTTAATTTTCAGATCATAAACCAATATCTAGAACCTAATCTGTGGTTTAAAGGACATTTATATCCGACACGTACCCCCTCATGACTAAAATTATACTGTACCTTTTCTCTTTTTAAAAATCTTGACAGGTTTAAAGTTATTTCTAACTTCCTCCTTAGGTGTCTACATAATCTATTTTTGTTATGTTTATTACTTGCAGGTGACTTGAAAGATGGTAAAAATAAGGCTGACAAGAAGGATCAATCCAGTGTCGGAAATGACTCAAAGAAAGCAGATGGTAAGGGCATAATTCTCATTACACTTTCCATAGATGTGCATTTAATTCCAATTTGTTAGAATTGAATAGTGGTTGTTATTAGATCCTTATCTCAGACCCTGAAAAAGCACTTCACCACATTTAAAGAGTACTATTATTCATTTTTCAATAGTTTATTAATTATTGTTGTATCTCTTCTCCTCCACCATCCTTTCTCCATCACACGTGCATTCTATACCTTCTTTCACACTGCCATTTTCAATGTAAACTTTATAAAAAGTTGACTGTGGACTTGCTGATTATAATGGAATGGAATGTGAATCTTTGATCATGAACTGTGCAGTGAAAATGGGAAATGTTCCATGTTTTCAGTTTTTGCAATTTTTTTTTGCCTTTAATTAGTTATTACTTTGGTTAAAAACAAACACAGAAATCTGTTCCGAGTGATCATTACGCCGGGAGGCCCACACATTGGAGAGTGACGTAGCTGTAGAATCAGGACGACAACCCACCCCAGCTAGCAGCACCTCACAATGTTCTTCATGAGCACACCTTCCGCTTTCCACAACCAACACCCACTCTTTCTAAACCCTGAGAATTCACATTATATCCCTCTCCAATCTTCAAACTATCAGTTGAGAGACTTACTCTCGCTTTTGACACAAACCTTCTGTTCCAGTGGTAGCCCTTAACTTTACTTGACTACATTAATAGAGATATGTGATAGCCACTGTTTGTGACTCTTAAAAGATTAATTAAATTATCTTTAAATTGATCTATAGATTTCATGTAATCCTAATTAAAATCCTAGCAGACATTTTTTTTTGGTAGACATTTACAAGCTGATTCTAAAATTAATATGGACATGTAAAACACTCACAATAGACAAAGCAACTTGCAAAAGAAAGGAAAAGTTGGCCTGATTTCAAGACTGATACAGCTATAGTAATCAAGACAGTAGGGTATTAGCATGGAGACAGACAAATGGATCAATAGAGAGTCCAGAAATAGATCCACATGTATATGGACATCTTATTTTTGACAAAGGACATTCCATTGAGAAAGTCATCAATGAACGGTAATGAAATAGCTAGATATCCATTCACAAGTGATGAACTATCTATACTTCTCATCAGATACAAACATTAATTAATACTTAAACATTAATTAATGAAGTAGATTATTAACTGAAAATGATCATAAAATTTTAAAATATGAAACTATAAAACTTCTAGTTAGGAACACCAGAGAAACTCTCTGTGGTCTCGGGTTAGGCAAAGATTTCTTATGCAGGACGATGAAACTCCAAACCATAAAAGAACAAATTGACAAATCATACTTTATCAAAATTACAGACTTCTACAACTTCAAAAGCATCATTAGGAGCATGAAAAGACAGCCCACAGAGTGAGGGAGAATAACTTCAAAAAAACATTTGATTTCTTCTTAGATTCAGGATGCAAGTCAATCTCAATAGCCAATAAAAAGGAAACAACTCAAGTAAAAACATGCAAGAGATTTAAACAAACAGCGAGCAAGCAGGCACATTAAAAGATCATTGAAATCATCTGGGAAATGCAAATTGAAAACCAAATTAAAAAACCATATGGAGAGAAAACAAAACAAAACAAAGCTTACATGTGGGAGAAGGTTTTACACTTGTATATTATATTCATGTAATGATCTCTCAGCTTTCTACTTCACTGTGTCTGTCAGGATACAACTTGATCAGCTCCTTACCTCATTGAGGAAATGGCATTCCTTGCAGCCACTCTTTCTATTTCTTAAGTTGCTTATGTTCTCTTCTTTAAGGTCTCAGGACAGGAGAAATGGAAGAGGCAGTAGAGCCAATATTCTCATTAGCTTGTGTAGAGCAACTAATTGTGATTTAAAAGTTTGTTGTGTGCATTAGAGGGTTTTGCCTGTGCTTTGATCCTTCACAAGACTGGACGTCTCATGACCTTGACTTGAAGGCTCACAAGAGTCACCTAAAAAATAAGAATGTGTTTTTCCTGTTTTCCTTCTAGCTGATATCCTATCAAGTTAGTTTGAAATGTAATAAATGAATGGAATGAATGACTTGGGATTTTTTTTTTAGATGTCTTTTGTTCTATATAATGATGTAGTAAATTATTAATTAAAAAAATAGTGGAAGGATATAATCTGGACCTTTACACTTGAGTTGTAAAAAATAATGTAATTTTTTAACTAAACTTGAGAAATTTTTGTCCTTTGCCTCAGGGGCAGAGCATCATGACTTGCTCTGCTGTGGAGTTGATGGTGAGAAATAGATAGGACCTGTATAGACCGGGAGGCAGGCCCTGCTCCACAAATCCAGGGGGAAACAGTCAAGCAGCAGGGTGCAGGAGAACTGAGACACATGTCTCTCTGTACAACAGAGACTCCTCCTGACTTAGGCTCAAGTCCAGAGACTTGAGAAGCAACAGATGCACATTTACCGTTATTCAGGAGGCACGCATTTGTGGAGGCCACCATCAATTTCTGTATCTACTTAGACACCTGTATACCAGTATTCTCATCTTAGGGAATCATACCTACCTCATTCTTTCTTCCAAATATCCCCTCCCCCCCATTCTACTCAGGACAGTGGCATCAGGTTGTCCTTTTACACCAGAATAAATAACTGCCTTATTTAAACGCATCAAAACCTTGGCTTATAGTTGCTGTCTGCTTTTATCACAGTATTGTTCCAATCAATGCTATGTCTTCCCACAGAGCTTCTCGTTATCACTTGTAGTTGATGTTGGCTCTGTACTTGTCCATGCAGAACATAGAAACACTTGAACACACCCATTCTTTTTCAGCACACTCCTATTTGAATCAATCCCATATAGACATGGGGATGTTACAGGGCAATCTTTATTCATTTAACATTTTTCCCAAAATTTTGAAAGATTTATTTATAAGCAATTGTCAATATGATTTTAGTCAGATCTATTGGGTTCACAAAACCTTTATAGAGGATAGTGGTCTTATTGACCATCTTTGTTCAAACTTGTTCCCCAATTTATGTTGCATAAGGCATACATAAGACAGAATAGAATCTGGAGAATCTGGAGAATTCTTGACAGGAATTTTGAAGTGAATTCTACTTTGTGGTTTTCCATTTTGTTCTGCATGTAAGAACTATCTTGTCTGGGAAACATGAAATTCCTTCATCTGAGAGCACTCAAAACATATGTGATAATTAATATAAAGAGAGGCCTGCTTAGAAAGTAGGGTGCTACACATTGGCAGACAGAGGAGTTCCACATTGATAGTAAATGGAGAGTTGATTATGTTGTAGAAGACTAGTTGACACAAAAAGAAATACTTATGACCAATGCCTGGCAGTGACTGCCCATTCACTGATGTACAATGTGGCCATGTACATTCTAATACTCGTGTCAACTGGCCAGTCAGTGGTTTTTTTCCTCCTGAAGGAAATCCTATCAGAAGGTTGCTTGTCAAGCTGAGAATATGAGGGGCATTAGTTGATGAGTTTGTTACTTCCCGGTAGAATACCCTGATACATCTGCTTCCACCATTGGTTTAGACCTGCCGAGAAGGATGGATGGGAGCCATCTTGCATGCCCTATATCCTGAGTACAGGTTCCTTTATTGTACCTCTTTTTCTGATCTCCTTTTTGACCACAATTTCAGCCATGAGATTTGTTGATATTTTAGAATAGATCATCAGTCTTGTTTACTTTTTTAGTCATCTTTGATTGCATTTCTGGACTTCCATCTTGAGAAGACTTACTTGATTTTAAGGCAGATGATCTCAAAGTATTTCTTTCTTCCCTCACCCCCACCATAACCTACACCCAAACTTTACACCCAGCTTATGGCCAGACCATGAACTTGGTGGGTAAAATAGGCCAAGGATGGTGAACACTGGGACCACCCTGTGTTTTTCTCTCACACCCAAGACAAAGCTACTACAAAAATAATCTTGAATAATTTCTAACTTACTTTTTAAAAAAATCTATGAAACATCAGTGCTTCACTGATTTTAGCAATGATTGATTTACAGTAAATCTCTCTGTTCATCATGCTACTAACATCAACATCTGTTGCCTTAAGGTAGTTTCTACAGATAGTTAATCCCATCCTCTCAGAGGATAACATTATTTCTGGGAAGATACCTTAGAATAGCCTTCTGTGTACTGACAAAAATAGGCCTTCTTAACGGAGGAATTGCCCTCCACATGAGAAACCAGCATCCTTTTGGGTTATTTTCTAGGAGCGCTCAGGAGCCGAACATCTGGAATGCCCCAGGTCCCAATTAAGAGTATTCATCATAAGCACACGTATTCTGATTTATATCGTATTTCCCTTAGCCATTGGTCCACGAAAAATTCGGTGACCTACTTCCTTAACAAATTCATATGGAGCATTAACAGTGCATTAACAATACTGTGGCTTAGCAAGAAGAGCTATAAAATGTTTGTTTATTTTCTCAAGTATGGTGAAAGCCTAAGTGTCTGAACCCTCACTTCGATGCCCATCAAAGGAAAATGGGAAACAGTAAATGGCCTAGGCAGTGTTTCCCAAAGTGTGGTACGCGTACCCCTAGGAGTACGGGGAGAGTTTGGTGGGGTAACGTGTTGCATCAGAGTTTGGTGGGGATATGCACTGCACCGTGCTTAGCTGCGCCTAATTCTACGTTCTCATGAGTACAAGGGGTACTCAGCGTTATGGAAATTATAGAAGGGGTACACATATGTCAAAAGTTTGGGAAACACTGGCCTAGGGAATCGCATCATTACTTTCAGAAGCCTGTTATTCTCATGCTCCTGGGTAAGAGAATTCTAAAAGGTCTTGCTGCTTAAAATTTTTGGTTGATATGCTTCAGTGTCATTTTCTAGAAAACCTCAGAAGCTGTGCTGCTGGTTGACCCAACGATAGGAGTTATTGTGAGTGCAGCAATGCTGAAACTCAATATAATAGCTTTTGGGGAATGGATTTGGAGGAAAACTATTAACCAATACTTCAGATGTGGGTGGGAAGAGGTCAAA